TTTTCAATCGCACCACTTGTAGAAGGACCTTGCCAAGACTTTTTGGGTTTGTAGTTTTTATGAACATAGGTCTCATCTAAGTAAATTATTTGTTTCCCTTCGGCACGTTTAATACCTATGGCCCTTAAAAAACGGTGTCTCCAGGCAGATATGTCATAGCGTTCAACTAATAATGAACGTTCATTTTTGTTTCTTTTGAATTCAAAGCCATTTGCCAATAATATTCGGCGAAGAGTTTCCCGGCATCCATTAAATTGAATACTTTCCCGTAATTCCAGCATAAGTGTTTTCAATGTAGGAACATGTTTTCTCACAATATAAAATTCATTAATTTTATTGCGAATAGCATCTACATCAAAACTATCTAACTCTGACACTGTGGGTTTGTGTGGCCGTTTTTTTCCTGGAGTATTCCAGACACCATCATTTACTGCACCTTCCTTTTTTATTCGTTTTAATGTTGTTACACTAACCTCTGTGAAAAATAAATAAAATAAATTGTATTTTCTAACAATTAAAAATTATTTGAAATATGTATGTACATACAAATTACAATAGCAAAGTTACCAGTGAGTGAAGCTATTTTTTCTAGGTATTGATTTTGATTTGTTAATCTGTTTTTCTGCTCCAAATCAGTAAGTTTTTTGATAATTTCAACTATTTTATTAACCCCTGCAACATCCTCCAAATTCTCTGTAAATAAATATACTTTCATTATTTTTTTTAATTATATTAATACGTTATATGATAAATGTGCTTGTAGAAATGGTAAATACGCAATTGTTTATGATTTCTTTAACTCAAATTAAAAAGTAAACATAACAAAGTATCAAAGTAATATTGTTTTACTAACCAAAAAAATTTAATATTACGCGTAAACAACCCTGTTTTTCTTCAAAAACAGCATCATTTTCTTCTTTTTGTTCTTGAAATTTGGAAATCATACGGAACAATAACTCCCGCACACCACTTTTAATTGTTTTATTCATCCTTATGTACGTAAATCACAAAAACAAGATCACGATAAAACACAACAAATGACAACGAACCACCATCTTACCACTTTGATATTGACATTTAGTATTGCCATGTCAAAAGTTTGCAAATAAACCCAGTGTCTACTTTCATTAGCCAGACTCTATCATCTTTTGCTTTTTGTTTTTCATTAAATAGTGAAATAATATTGTATGCTGTGCCATATTTTATCAAATAAATCAGTAAATATTCAACGCAAGTCTACTACAGTGAGATCGAATGGCAAAGATTTTCAACTTTCATTAGTGCTTTTTAATAGCATTCATTCGATATTTTGCCCATCTCCGCATTTTACGAAATTAGAGTTCTTTTCTCTTTATAGGCTGTTAATACTTTTTTTGACATTTGCCTTTTACTTTTTTTGAGTACTATTATTCTATGCGTTTGCTGTGTCATAACAAAATTGTCTGAAGTTTTTATTTTGGTCTTCGAATCATTTTATTAATTTGTCGGCGAAGTTTCAATAATAAATAAATAATGGCATCAAGAAGTCTAACAGAAGTTTTTGTGTTAATGCGAAATAATGCAATCCACAGCCGTCAAATATTCGCCGAACAGGTGTGGTGTCTTTTTTTATTGATTTAATTTTTATTTACGATTTATCTGCTATATATGATTCAATAAATACTTCTGCCCTATTTAAGTGAAAGATTCTGTTTAAAGAATGCTAAGAGAAAAGTACAAACAGTTATGTGACCACAAATTTCAAAGCTATTTTAACTAGAAATTTGTGTAGACGATTACAAATTACTTGATTTATAAATGCTTTTAACGTAGCTTTATATTTTTAAAGTATGTGCAAGATATATAGATTTCCAGATCCCTTAGGGTGAATTAAAAACTGGTACTTAGTATTAATGAAGTGAGATGGATTTTCAATTAACTAAATGAAATAAAAAATCTTTGGCTTGTATTATATACTAGTTATTTACAGAATTGAAAAAATCTTTTGACGGGTTTATAACTAAATTTGGTCTGGCCCTATCAATATTTAAATTTTAAAACAAATTAATATTTTTAAAACAAAAGTTATTCATGTTGCAATCCTCCTTGTCACATCATCCTGTGAGAGCATAATACTGGCAATATTATTGAAAATGAATCAATGTTACTGTGAATTCTTTTGTAAGGTATTGTTACTGTTTAAAATTATATCCAACTTTTTGGACCCAGTGTGGACTTGTGGATTCTAACAACTGTTCTGCTCTGCAGAAGCTCAAAATAACAAGTATTTGTTCACCCACCTGATGATCAGCCTTTTTGGAACAAATCACAAAGTAAAGTTTGACTGTAGAGAGATTTGGATGCCAGTTTCTAGTCATCAGCTTTGAGGTCTAGAGTTTGATTCTCATGAATTTGTGTTCATGATTTTGTCTCAGGTCAAGTTATTGTGTTACCTTTAACGTTTCAGATTTCCATAATTCATAAAGCACAGTAAAACGGAACACTATATCTTAATTTAATTTTTAGAGGTATTAGCATCTTCTCTATATCATCATATGAAAACTCTAATAGCCAACTTTTAAGTTTTCATGTACAGTTAAATTTTGTCAATGAAAAAATAGTCAATTTACTGTTGATTTTGTTATACAGATAATTCCCTAAAAAAGGAAAAAATTATGTGATAGACTCCTACTAAAGAATTGGATGGTGTAAACTTTACCCTTTCCTCTCTTGTTCATATTTATTTTATTGTGATAGCTTCATTGGGAGTGTTTTCTCAGTGTTACTAAAAAGATAAATTGTTTTCTTACCAATAACATCCCAAATCCTATACAGATTGTCAGAAGGATAATAAAACGAAAGGTTACTACCGACTTTGAGAATAGCTCACTGAGCTTTTTTGATTAGTAGAATGTGAGACTTAGTTGACCCTTCCAAGGATGAGATACAGTTACATATTAGCAATTGGCAGAGCGAGTAATAAATCATCCTCAGGGCACTTGTGCACTACACTGAATTTTCAGGTCCGGCAGTCCAATTTTTTCCGGTCCAGAATGACATGAAAAACCCGGATGATTAACTTGTGCACTTGTCCGTTTTTTTCCTGATCGGAGCGGCGCAGTGTAGGGCAGCTCTCTTTGAAGCTACACGTCACTTACTTTAGGTACAATGAGATTTTTGGAATGTTGCTTGCTTTGTTACTTACTCTACGTGCGAATACGTAGAGAGGTACCTAAATAATGACCTGATCATTTTACATAAACCATAATAAATTGAGGCAAGACGAAAGCATTTTTTTACTACTATCGGATGTCTATTATCAGATGTAAAAACTTATACACTTACTAATTTTAGGAACAGCATTATTCACATATAATAGCCAAAATATCTGTGACATTAGAATAAAATTATTGATAATGTTCTATTACTTGATGTTTAAATTTATAAACGTGCTATTTTTTTTCGAAGTTTTGTAAAAACGACTTTAAGCAATTACAGATATAGACCAATCGTTGGCGCCATTTCGTACACAAATCGAAATTATACTTATTAATTGCCTAAAAACAAATTTTCATATTGACAAATTTGCATGCAAACTTTCATCCCCTATTTCCACCTCTTTTTCGCGATGAATGGTAGCCTATGACCTTTCTCAAGGTTAAGTCTATTTCTGTATCAAATTTTACTACGATAGATTCAGTTATTTAGGCGTGAAAGCGTACCAACACTTATTTGTCTTACCTTAAGTTATTGATACTTTTGATTCGATATTGTTTTGAGATCGATACTTTTAATATGATTCTAGAATCCAGCAAAGCATCGATACTATAACCATACGATTAGCAAATTAGAACTATTTTGAGTTTGTCAACGCATACTTATGCAGTGATATTTACCAACTATATTAAATCATCATATAAAATATCGCATTGTATAATTTACAATAAATATCGATTTTTCATAAATCGATTATCTTTTTCCAAGTCTACTCGGCAGTCTCATGAATTTTCCGGATCGCGGACACAGTAGTGCACAAGCGTAAACACGTTTTTCATTGCCGCCATCACGGACCTGAAAAATCTGGTCCGTAATATAGAAAAGTAAAATTCCGGACGGTAAAATTCCTGACAGTGCACAGGCTAGCATTACCTACATATCGGACCTGAAAAAATCGGACCGCCGGACCTGAAAATTCAGAGTAGTGCACAAGCGCCCTCAGAGTCTGTTTATTTGCTTCATTTCTGAGGGCTTTGAATACAAATATAAAATTTCGTAACCTTTTGCAAGTTGCTCAGTATGTAATTTAAAAGTCAAACAATTATTATCGATCACTACACCCAGATATGTAACATTAATAACATGTTGAAGATTGGGACATTTACACTGCTGCTGCTTTTGTTTGTATGAGTTATTTAAAGTGCTAGATGGTCATTTATAGTTTTTTGTAGAAAATGTGATATATTAGGTTTTATCCGAATTGAGTGAAATAATGTTTCGGTGCAGCCATTGCGCAACTTTATCAAAACCGGATTAAGCAATTTCTAATTCTTCCTTCCATGTACTAGCACTGAACACAAGGGCAGTATCATCAGCAAAAGAAAAAAGAATTACCATTTATTAGTTTTGAGTTCATAAAGTTCATTAATATAAATCAAAAATAGCGTCGGGCCGAGGGTATTGCCCTGTGGAACACCATAGTTGACTGATAGCTCTATACTTACAAATGTGCTTACCTATTAGTGAGATAGTCTTTGAATAGCGAAAGTGCTATACCTCTGACACCAATGCGTTCCATCTTATTTAAAAGTAGGAGAATCGAGACTGTGTCAAATGCCTTGGCCAAATCAAGGAAGATAGCTAAACACTTATCCTTCTTACTTATATATAATACAAGTGCTTGAGCAATTTCATTTTGGATCTGAATTTTATATGATTATTAGAATGAGTCAGAGCGTGTGCGTCTCATGCGTGCCAACTCCCGGGACATAGAGGCGAGCATGGAACTGCGGTCAGAGGGCCACATGCCGCCGCCCTGGACGGACGCATTAGAAGAAGCACACTATGTTATCACCAGGTAATTTATTCTATACTTAAGCTAATTATATAAATGTTACTTAGTAAACATAACTTTAGGATATGCGAATATCTGACAGTTCTGTAATTGGCAGCCATGAATATATTATAATGTAATGTCATTCAACCGTATTGAGTAGATGTTTTCATTCAACTATATTTAAAAAGTTTCCATTCTGAGTTAGAATGACCATCCAGACCACAGTTACAGTCAGTTGCAGAAATGTCCATTAAAAAAGTCATTAGTTAAAGCGACGTTTCCGACACAAAATTGACATCCATTAGAGCTTAAAGACGTCATTAAACCATAATGGACGTTTGTGCAACTGACTGTTAGAATGTCAAATTAGTAAAAAACCAATGTCTGTTAAGGTTTGTCATATTGACAAATTCACATTTGGTCAACTACTTGTAATCTCATCTCTTCCTTATTTTTGAGAATATGACTTTGTATGAAGTTATCTTTTTGATAAATACATATTTTATGTCCTTATGAGTGGAAATGGATTCATTGTGAACTCATTTGTACTTTCACTCTTTCCTCAGAATTGCACCAATCATTAAAATAATGTTAAGTAGTATCATAGTAGCGCATACCATTTTGATTTAATGAACAACTTTTTTAAGCCATTTTCATTGGCCATGATCGTAAGCAAACGATGCGATGTTATAGTGTAATGAAACAGGCAATAAGTCGTGGCATCGCGTTACTAAGAAATTACTGTAAAGGGTATAGCTGTACTTCTATAGTGAAACCTATATCACAACAAAGGTTCCTGTTGGGGGTAGTTTCATGATGGGAGTATGGCTTCACCCTTTAGGCTTAAAGTTAACTCCACAACCTATTTACAAAAATGGCCCGAATGGCTTTGAGAAAAGAATATAGCATGCGAACATATATAGCAACGCGACAGGCAACGCATCGCGCGTCGGGCGCCGTGCGATTTCTTAGGACACCTACTAAATCTTCGCACGATTACGATTCTCATCGCACGATTAAATCGCATCATTTGCTGTAGGATCTTTGGCAGATTAGTATACGTTACTATGTTTTGTCTTGTATTTATGTAGATTAAAAACAAAGTTATCCGAGTTGCGTTCGAGGCACGAGAGTCAAATCCGTCGGCCTGCGCTCGATGATTCGAGCGAACAGCAACACATCAGCCGCCTCACGACTGAGATAGCGCGGCACCTCACGCAGGCGCACGCGCACATCACAGCCATCAAGACACAGGGAAGGCACGGTGAGCACCATATCATTACGCCAATATTTATAGTTACCAATGGTGGAATGTGAATCTGAATCATCGTCGATATCGCATCAGCGTGACCCGTTTACTTTTAGGAATTATCATCAACCTGAATTGAATTATCATCATCATCAGGAATTATCTCAATAAACCCATTGCAGAGGCAGAGTAAAATGAATGGAATTCTCATAAGGGAGAATGTTCCAAAACCACTTAGTATGTTCCATAACCAGTGTGTTCCATAAATGAATGTTCCATAATTACCATAAACAGCGCGGGTAGGTGGGAGTTACGTTCGCGCAGATGCCAAAATAATATTTTTCCAAAATTTATCCAATATATTTTTCATATTGAATGTATAACCGAAAAATTGGTATGTCTAGTTAGTTAAACGGTTCAACTTCATAGCACCGCGTAGTTGATTGCTGGGCATTTTCAAAAGAAAATTTGGTGGATAGTTGAAAACGTATATGCAATGCAAAGAGACAAATCCAGTAATTATATAAAATGAGTAAGAGAAACATTAGTCCGATTAAGTAATTCATTTGAAATAGCTTTGAACAGCAACATGGGAACTGCACTCAATAAATTTGGGTTTTATAACAATGTTTAATAACTTAATACTCTCATTTCAGGTAACAAAACGGAACAGAAACTTGCCAACAATGTAGTCCTCGCGCTGGTGACCACACTACGGGACGTCAGTGAACAGTTCCGATCAGCTCAGTCGAATTACTTGAAATCTCTGACGTCCCGTGAAGAGAGATCTAACGCTTACTTTGACTTGCCAAACTTCGAAGAGTTGAGTCTAAACGATGGAGATTTGCTACCGGGACTATCAAACAATCAAACGGACCTGTTATTCTCACTGCCTAGCACTTCAAAAAATTTCATGGACGACGATCAATCTCCTGAGAATTATCAGAAACAGATTCTATCACAGAAACAGCTGTTGTTAATCCAAGAAGATAACACTAAAATGGTTACAGAGAGAGAAGAAGAAGTCAACAAAATAGTTAGGTCTATAGTCGATCTCAACGATATATTTAAGGATTTAGCACACATGGTTAATGAACAAGGCACAGTTTTAGATAGAATCGATTATAATATTGAACAAACTCAAGTCCAAGTGTATGAAGGGTACAAACAATTGCAGAAAGCCGAAAGGTACCAAAGGAAGAATAGAAAAATGCATTGTATATTTATATTGGCAGTTACAATAGTGGTTTTAGTGATACTGTTGATTATAGTTAAGAGTTAGTCGCTAGTTCGGTTTAGATAAGAGAAGCCTTATATTATGTAGTTGTGAATGTGGGCTTAGAACCCAGAATGACGTTTGGCGGTAAAGGTTACTAGAAAAGCGTTGATTACGGTGATCTGGAAGAAATAACTGCAATAACAGATAAGTTTACATAGATACTTCTCCTGCAACTAAAAAAATACTTATGCCTTAAGTTTAGAATTGCTATCGGTCTTGGTATAGCCAATTCTGTCTTTGAAGTATGTCCGGGTAGTATATGGCAGTGGCGGATTAAGGGGGGCGGTCCGCCACAGGCCTCCGGTCCTGGGGGCTTTCAAAAGGTCAAAATCATAATTATATAAGGAACTGACAATATATGCGAGGGGGGGGGGGGACAAGTTGGAAAAGTTGTTGAGCCGGGTGTATTGCCGCCCCGGGCCTCCGATGAGGTTAGTCCGTCACTGGCGTCTGGTCAGTGTTTTGTAATATTGATTACAAAACACTGATCGCAGACGTAAACAATAGATAGATATCGGATTCTGCACTCAAAATCTCGTCGTTTAGAGCTCATAGTACAAGATCGTATTAACAGATAGAGATTGCCATTATGGAGAGCCTTATATTTATTATATTACAGTCGACAGCACATCAAGTTATTACGAACCAGATTTGATCAATCTATAAGCCTTATAAGTTTCTGGTTAAGTTTAAAATTTATTTCGTTAAAATGGTCCTGATGAGCTATTGTATTAATAGCATATGAAATTTTAATAACTAGTGCTGACATTATATGTTTTTAGTAGGAAAAAACTACAGTTGTGACAAAAATACAAACTATTGTAAGACATAATGTGAGAGAGAGAACAAATAACAAAAAAAGAATATATTTAATATAATAATTTAACTGTCTAGTTTAGACGGACTATCGAATCATTCCTGATATTTTTTCGTACCTAATAGATGTTTTTTGAGGTATAGCATAAGATTTTTTGTGTCAAAGTTATATTAAATTGAAAGTGATAATAAAATTTTAATTGAATATTGTAACTAATTAACAAGAATCTGTCATTTATGAACGAATTATTTATTTAGTGTAACATCAAAAAAATCTACAGAAAATGTTTATGATAGTACAACATCTTTAGGGCTGACTTCATGCGTTTGGTAGGGTCACTTCAAACACTCGAGGGTATTGTCAGATTCTTGGGTGTTGACTAGAATCAATGTGGGATTGTTTTAAAATTTGGGGGGTAATATCACACGTTTGGGGGTCGACTTCAGTCTTTTAGTGGGGCGACATTCTGCTCCTGGAAGGAACAACAGACGTTTGTGAGTCGAATTTAAACATTGTGTGAGATGACTTTAAACATTTGGTGTAGCATCAGACGCGTGAGGGTAATTAATTACAAACATTTGAAGGTAATATCAAATGATTATGTATGAAAAATGTATCGAGGCTTTTATTATGTATTATTATTTAATGTTTTTATGTATTATATAAGCGAACATACATTCTAGTCCATAGCGTAAATATTCATTTTAAATCAAAGTATTTTAAATTATTTTTATTAAACATAAAAGATGTTATTTTTTCAAATAGCCAGCATAATTAACTTGTTTTTCCTTAAATGTGACAGTGACTTAAGCCAAACAGTATTCTTTGTCAGTCAAACAGTAATATTATTGTACTGGTTCAATATAATTTCCAGTTTAAAATATAAGCAATAGATACTATATACTTTTTTATAGATTGTATATTTCGTCGTCTTTGATTTAAAATTCACAGTTTTTGTTATATTTGTTTTCTAAATATAATTTCGAAATAATCATGTCAATGAAATATAAATTAAAAGAAATATGGAGGTTAAAATTCTAAATATTAAATCATATTTTATATTGATAAGTAATCAAAAATATATACAGCAATTCCCTGTAATTTAAGGAATTACATGAATATACAAATTACTTCCACAATATTATAATATTGTTGTATGAATGTTGAGTATTTAAAAAATATAAATGTAAATAATGTATATTGTTTCTTAATGTTAAATAAAAATCACAATAAAAACATATGGAACTATATCTTGATATTTTATTTAATATTGCTTTTTTTTTTATATATGTCTTCAGATTGTTTTGCATTGATTAGGATATTAATGCGTATTATGAAGTTTATATATAAAAAATTTGAATGTTTTTAGATTATTCGCCAATCTACTGTTTAAAGAATATTCTATTCTACAATGTATTTAAAATTGGCAGTACGAGAATGAGTGCTTGAGAAGATATTTTTGAGATATATCACATGAAAAGTCATTTTCATTGCGTGAAGGGCTCAGAAATCTAAAATATTAAAATCTAGAATAATTAAAATTAACCAGCTAATTAGAAACTCCGTACGTTTTTTGGCGTTTTGATGATTGAGAATCGAAATTACTTTTAGTTTTTTACTGAAAATCAATCGCACATTGAAAAAAAAAATGGTTGAGACAATGTGCAAAGCTCCACCCTATTAACCAGTTTAATTCTAGTTGAAAATGATTCCACTCTAAGCAAGCATTGATGAAAAACTTGCCTAATAATCTTTATCACCAGTTTGTTTTCAATCATGTGCAAACTCTGAATGGATGAGCTTACTAAATGATAATTGCATTAACAATTGCAAATCTAGGGCAGGTTGTCAATACGAAAAATAATACAACAACAATTTCAATTGCACTAAAGAATTATAATTGTCAGTGATCTTTTAATATAAGTTCATCTTACTAATCACCAGAACTATGAGAGTGATAGGTCAGTGTAACTGCTCAGATAATAAATTACATTTTTAAACATGTTAGCTACAAAAATATACTTTATCAACATGAATTTTTTCTATTGAATTACAGAGGAAAAATATCATAAAAATTAATTTAGGAATGTTAGTTTTTTATGTCATGTATTTTTTTTTATTTCCAACATAAATGTTAGAGTCACCATATATAAGCTTGTTTGTATTTCAGTGACTCCCCAATAAAAAGTTTGTGTAAATTTTATTTATTGATAAATTGTAAAGATAGTCTTGAATAATCATATAAAAACCTACACAAATGATATTTTTAATTTTTATTTAACTACTTTATTTTAAATTAAAATGATATTAAAGTATGGTTCTATTATAATTTCATTGCAAAGGTTAAATGTTTTTTTGTAAGTGAAATTTTATTAAAAATAATAAAACCAGGTCATGTCTATTTGGAATGGTCAAGTCTGTTATGGAATCAAATGAATAGTATTGTGAATGAACATAAGTAGAACAAAGTGGACACACAACCCATCAACTCTTTAGTTCTGTATCAGATTTACATCAATCATTCACAACACAAAATACAACGCAACTCAAATTATAATTAGAGATGACACTAACAAACTATGAGTCTTTGTTTTTATTATAAAATTCTTCTAGGTACTTCTTATAGGCTGGCTGATTTGACCACAGGTACGAAGCTTGCTGATTTAGCGGACTCTGTGTATTGGGCTCCGCAAGAAGGCTCTGAATCGATAATAATACTGTGCGGACGTCGTAAAGAGCCGTCCATTTATCTTTCAAAATATCTAGACATATTAACCCACACGTATCCACATTAGGATGGAAACACGGCGTCAGAAATTTTACTACGGGTGGTGCGTACGGATACGAATTGGGGAACTCCAATGACAATTTGTACTTGTGTCCCGCGTATACGGTGTCCTGAGGGCCGTTTATTGTGCCAATCCATTTGAATAAATTCTCGCACTCTGGAAATGCCGATATTCCCTTGTCCGCACACCTCATTAACTCCATCAACTCTTTTTGAAGTCTGCAGAGAAAGAAAATCGTGTCAGTTAAATGAACAAGACGAAGTCATCAAGAACAAGATGTGCATTATTAATGTTTACTCACCGTTTGCTCACTGCATGATTATCCTTCAGCTTTATAGTGTCCTCATTTTGTTTCGCCGGATTAGACGAAGATGCGTAATGAGGATTTATATTTTGAGCCATAATACGATGACAAAATAAAATCAGATGCCACTAGTTTTCTGTTAAAACGATCGACTTCCTGTGAAATTTGAAAAAGCTTAATTTTTATTGGACAACGAAATGAACACATTTGACAGAAGATCGTAATGGCGATTTTCAACGACAAACCAAAAGCGTAACTCTTTGTCTATGGATGTACCTTCCTTTAAATAATCGAGTTTTTTGTTTAAATACATAGTATAAGATATTTATATAAAAATAATATCAAATAAAGTTATTATAAGTACGCTAGGAGTTCAACAAAAATACGAATATATGTTAAAATAACTATTTTAACTATATCAGTATTTATATATCGGTATATTTTAACAACCTTTACGTATTTAAAAGTTAAGTTTATACACATTGATTAGCATATAAGGATTATATTAATTAGGCTTTATTTTGATTAGAACTGGGTATATATCAACCTTATCAGAATATGTATTATTAGATCATAAACTATTCTTAAATTGGTCAATTACCAAACGCTTCCAAAAAGTAGAAAGCCACTTTCACTTTCTTTGGAATCGGTCGAGCGTAAAATTAGAATTGGATAGTGAAGCTTATTGAAAAAAAAGGGTTTAGTAGTCTATTTAAGATGATGTTTCTACAAAATTATGTTTAGTATTAAACAACTTACAGTCATAGAATTATTTGTGTCACTTAGGAATCATAACAATGTAAGTATTAAATATTATATTTATTGGCATATTAACATAATATATACCTATAGAGATGATTTTAAAATTGACTTTATATATGTTTACCAATGTATACATATGCTTATATGTGTATGACTTGATATGTTTCATAGCTTTTGGCGTTAATTTATGACCAGCTATTATTTTACTTCTCTTTTCGTTACATGAAATGGCTGTTGTTTTTGTTTTGCAAGAAATATTTCATTAATAATTCAATAATTTGATATGATGAGATGTGAATAGAAAAAGTTTTTCATGCGGAGTGGAAGGTCAACCGGAAACAGTTTGTCTCTTTTCAGTGGGATTGTCTGCATTTTCGTCACTTACGATCGGATTTAAAAACTTTAGTGAAACAGCCAAGCGTCGAATACTAACATTTTATTATCTCTTGACTAGACTCAGATTGTATGTTATTGATAGATCCTTTTGCCTATTTAAATAAAATCATGACCGCTATGACGTCATGACGTTTTTGTTTTTGCCCTACTCTTTGTTTTGCCATAAACAATGTTTGGTCATGTTTATAGTAGTGGGGCATTCCACGCGAAGCGGACAGCTAAAAAAAGTTGATGTTTCTGATTTCAGAAATATTTGAGTATGTTTTACCTATACATGTCCTTGATACGTATACCAAATATTTTTGTAATATAGTGCCTAGTTAAAGAGTTAAGGGACTTTGAAATTTTGACCAACGAGTGGGCATGCAATACTTTAAAGTCGATTACCAAGTCATAAGATTATAGATATAAATAATTAAACTTATGTATTTATTACTTCATTTAATTAGGCTTTTAACTGAATTTTTCGATACGAAAAATTTTTTTTATTTCATTGAAAAAAATGCGATTTAATTTTTTAATCTTCATTTTCACGAAGTTAGACCATTTCGATTTTTTTTTTTTATTCTAAAAATAGATAATATTGTAAGGAACATTCGTGCTAAGTTTTATAATGGGCGTGAAAGTGGTTTAGGAGCTAGACTAGAAACATTGTCGAAGCGTGGCGTCCCTTACTCCTGCCCTGCGCCGCGCTTGACGCTTGCCACCTGCGTGAGCTTGAAGATTACAGTTTTTCTTTAAGATAGTTTGATATATTATGATATTTAAATTAAAACGATTTTTTTTAAATTAATTACATGGTTATTTCCAAGTTTTTACAATTTCAAATGCTTCGCTATGACTCGTGCGTTTTACCATTATACTTTCAATAATAGGAATGAAGGCATGATACTTTTTTGAGCCTGGTATTGCAGCTCTCGACTCAAATCTGCTTTTTAAAAACAATGTATTTTGTTGAATATCCTCTTTTCGAGCATAGAAAACATGCGTTTGTGGCAATGATTTTCTCGCCCATTAGTACAAGTGCTCGGGTGTGGTAATAGCATTGTTTGACGCCGACTCTACAGTTGACGTCAAACAATGCTAGTCTACACTCTGCTACTAGCTCGAGTCGCCAGACGTCTTTAGTTGCTCCCAAGTCCATCACATGGCCCTTTGCCATGAGAAGTGGTATGAAAATGAAATTCTGTCCCTGTACCAAATTCTTGTTTAAAATAAAATAGATTAATGGTATTAAACCTGTTTTCAAATTACTTAGGTGCACCATCAGTAATATAAATATATTTCTTAGTTGATATGCTCTTTTCTTGAAGATATTGATGCAACAATTTTGAAACGTATAATACGTTGCAATGTCTTATTTTAGATCATCAGATATCATTACAATGCTTCCGTGTTTCAAATTTTTGTGTTTGAAAAGGGGATATTAAACAAAATATATTGTTTTTAAAAAGCATATTTGAGTCGACAATACCAGGCACAAAAAAATATCATGCCTTCATTCCTATTACATTTGAAGCATTTGAAATTGAAAAATTTGTAAATAAACATGTAATTAATTAAAAAAAAACGTTTTAATTTAAATATCATAATATATCAAACTATCTTAAAGAAAAACTGTAATCTCCAAGCTCACGCAGGTGGCAAGCGTCAAGCGCGGCGCAGGGCAGGAGTCAGGGGCGCCACGCTTCGCCAGTGTTTCTAGTCTAGCCCCTGAACTACTTTCACGCCCATTATAAAACTTAGCACGAATGTTCCTTACAATATTATCTATTTTCAGAATAAAAATAAAAAAATTCGAAACGGTCTAACTTCGTGAAAATGAAGATTAAAAAATTAAATCGCCTTTTTTTCAATGAAATAATTTTTTTTTTTCGTATCGAAAAATTCATTTAAAAGCCTTATTAAATGAAGTAATAAATACATAAGTTTAATTATTTATATCTATAATCTTATGACTTGGTAATCGGCTTTGAAGTTCTGCATGCCCACTCGTTGGTCAAAATTTCAAAGTCCCTTAACTCTCTAACTAGGCACTATATTACAAAAATATTTGGTACACGTATCAAGAACATATATAGGTAAAACATACTCAAATATTTCTGAAATCGGAAACATCAAGTTTTTTTTGCTGTTCGCTTCGCGTGGAATGCCCCTAGTGTCGATTCGACTGAAACCGAACTTTTGCCTACGAGTAATGGCGCGATTTTGATAACGTAGTTTGGGGTTCGGATACCATGTTTTGAAAAATAGTGTTAAATTCGATTTATATTGCATAATTTTAATGGAGTTTTATTCAATTTAGTGTAGTGAACGTGCACTATTGTAGGGAAGGTGAAACTCGATTCCGTTTTTAGTTATCATAACATTACTCTGCTTGACATGGTTTTGGTATTGTTTCACCATTATACCTGTGCTGACATGCTGACATGACTGACAGACGGACTAAGACTTACTTGAAACTTTTTGAGTTCGATTTGGGCAAAACTTGATACAAATTATTTACTTGATACTGGCTACATGTACCAAACGTGCGAAGCCATAGAGAATAAAAAAAAAACTATTGGCTCAACACTAGTTTATAGAAAGAACAAGTTCTAGTATCTCCTTGTTCTTTGTTCACTTTACTCTTTTTGTGGAAGTGAAGTGAGTGTTTGAGTTTGAGGATAACAGTAAAAGGGTTTTTTTTTTTATTCTACATAAATAGATATTCAGTATCAGTCGTAAAACTACAAAATGCCTTACCAAGTTTATTTTGAAAACCGTTATTTTGGCCAATTTAACTCTGAATCCGTATTTACGTTAAAAGAAGCTATTTCGCAAGAGTATGGAGTTCCACTACACGATTTGTCTGCGACTATTAATGGGAAGCTTGTTTCGGACGACTTCGAGTTGAGAACATTTCAAAATGTGATCAGAGTGTGTCCTCGACTAAAAGGTGGTAAAGGAGGCTTTGGATCTATGCTTCGTGCAATAGGAGCTCAAATCGAGAAAACGACAAATCGTGAAGCTTGTCGTGACTTATCTGGACGTCGTTTACGTGATATAAATGAAGAAAAAAGGTTGAGAAAATGGTTAGAAGGCCAGGAGGAGAGGGAAAGGGAGGCTGCAGATCGGAAACAAAAGAAGATTGAGAGATTACTAGCAGAGCCCAAAATTGATGTTAATTTGAATCCTGTGTATGAAAAAGTACGTCAAGAGCTGCCAGAAAGAGTGAGTGCTGCGGTGGATGCTGGATGGCAAGCTGCTGGCTCTAGCAACAGTGAGACTGGTGTAAAACGGAAAGGAAGTGATGACAAGCCCATTGGAAAGAAAAAAGCTAAATTATGGATAGATGCAGAGCTGTCAGACTGCTCATCATTAAGCGAAGATGAAGATGAAGAAGAAAAAGTGAATACGGCACAAATAATATCAACCGACAGTGGGAATGAATCTGATAGAACTTCAGAATCTAGCAATCGTGTATAAATAATGAGATGTCTAATTGAAATTTAATATTTTCCATATTAAGATTTAAATTGAATATGTACATATTTATTATATTTGATAAATTTTGCATTCACAATGCTATACTGAAAAATATTCTTAATGAAAAATGCTTAAAAAATCTACTTTGTCCCTGACACTTGGAGATGGGACTCGACCACAACCTTTCTCAATCCGGATGATTAAGAATATGTACATATTTGTTAATTGTGCTTAACTACTTTTCATTATGTGTGCATAAAATTTGTGGTAATAAAATATAACTTTTTTGGAAACTAGTTTAAACAGAAAAGTTTTGATATAAAATATTTAACAATAATGCTGTCCAATTTTTGACAGATAGACCATTTGTGCCCGAGGCAAGACTCGATGTGTAAAGCAACTGCTCTTTACTAATCAATTTTATCCCCTATCAATTAAGTTCAGGTAATTTACATATGTTAACTTTTGATTAAGATTGATAAATGTATTAAATTATCCAATTCTAACTTTTCAAGAGGTATTATTTTACTAGTTTTATAATATATATTTGATGTCTCACACTCCTGTATTACAGTGATATTATATGCAGTTGATATCACTAATTTTATAGTTTTGAAATCCTGGTATTTAAGCATATAAATACACAAGTGTAGTGGTACATATATTTGATATGTCTCACACTCCTGTATTACAGTGATATTATATACAGTTGATATAACTAACTTTATAGTTTTGAAATCCTGGTATTTAAGCATATAAATACATAAATGTACTGTATATAAGTTACATGTAAAATCTTGTAGTAATAAAAGTAAATTTTAGGTGATTTTGTCTTTTTAATAAATTTTTAGAAGATTTTACCTAGTCTGTTAGTGGCAACTAACCCCAGAAGTTAAAAAAAGATGGCGCTTGTATAATGCTTATTTGGTTATATATGATTTTATTGAATACTTTTAAAAAATTGAGTTAACCGATTAACTGCATTATTCTTTTTATTTTGGCTTCATTCAACAGCACATCAGATTATACAAATCTATAAAATTTTGCCATTTGATTTTAAACCCAATTCTTTGAGAATAGAGTTTAAAATAAAGAGAATGAATTTGACATAATGCGGTAGACTTACATGTAGCCGTTACAAATATAAAATATTTACATTACAATATTAGATATAATAATAGTGACCTCTTTTATTAAAATAACGAGCATAAAATTTTGTCTGTTGTAGGGGAGCCCCTTAAATATTTATTTTAGTCTGGTTTTTCTTATTTGTTGTTCAAGTGGCAACAAAAATACATCATCTGTGTACATTTCAACTATCGTAATTTATATATCGTAATTTGGCGAGAATGGCGACGAGTCCGCACTTCTATCGTCGTGTAATCTCCACGAATGAGCGATTATTCTGCCAGTGTATCGTCATGACTCGTGACGTATCCGCGACGATTCTTAACAGAATTGCCACGTGTCCTTTGTTAAATAATTCGTTGTTCTTTTTTTTTGTTGAAAGAATTCAGTTAGGTACCAGGCGAGAGCGAAAAAGTTGTGTCTCAGAAAATAAAGCTCGTATAGGGCAGGCCTTTCTCTCGCTTCACTTCATAGTATAAAACAGAGTCGTTTTCTCTGTCCCTATATCCCTATGTATGCTTAAATCTTTAAAACTACGCAACGGATCTTGATGCGGTTTTTTTTCATTGATAGGTTGATTCAATTCAAATATGAAGTTTTCGATGTCAAACTTTGTACATATGTATTGTTTATAAAAAGCTTGTCGATAGATTACATCATATCTTTTCTTAGTCAGAGGCAACGCTGATGACGATACGTTTGAAAACGCGCCTGCCACGATCGGCGGGCGGGCCCGGCGCGAGCGCCCCCAGTATATACCGATACCGACAAAAATGATACTTCTATGATTATATTATATACCTAGATTGTATGAATACATATTTTAGGATGTCCTACATAAATGCTGGCAGGTGTACGAAGTTCAAAAATTATTCATTTGAGATTTGTAATGTTAGTATTTCGTTGTATTATTAATTTATTGTATTACTTATTCATCGTCGTCAGATGTTTGGTTGGAGAGCTCTGTTGTTACTGTCGCTGCTGGCGTTAGCGGTAGCCAGACCGCAAGAGTTTGAGGACGAAGAAGACGGTCCAGGTTCAGGAGTAGACAAAAAGGGTGAGGAACTCGAAAATTGCATGAACATTCGAGTTGGCCTAACGTTGGTTCAATAAGTTCGTTGGAATATTATATTGGCCCAAATTGTAACTTCCACATTACAGGATTTTAGGTACTTTCGCATCCTAAATGTAGAACAGTAAATGTATTAGAACAATATACTATACTATAGCAAGAAATAAATATTAGATAAATCACATACATTGCTTAAGTTCCAAAATGAGTAGTTAAATCCCGTATTATGGAGTATCTGAGTCATCGAAGGTACTACAAAAGGTACCAAACCCGGAATAATATTGAAACTAAATAATATAATATACGGTTGGGGCTTCTGAATATGATATAAAATATGATAAAAAACACATCTGGGTTGCTTAGCAAGGCGATTTGATTGAGATTCGGTTGGCAAAATAGGTCAACATGGTTCGGTTGTAAAAGAAATTAGTTTGGTTGTTTCCCTTCGTTACACTATAGTTCCATCTTTATTTATTTCAGATGACGTTGCCAGAGTCCAAATAAAGGTGTACAGAGGGCCCACAAAGAATGATGGCTACGCACCGTGGGGCTTTTGGGTGAAACAACCAAACGACGAGTAAACCCCGAGGAAAACGACTGTCCACCTGATTACTTAATATACCAGTTATTAATGTTGGGATATAATAATAAGTTCCTAATTTAAAAGTTCAGTTATTTTTTAAATTTATTGTTATTAGTTCTATAAGCACCGTTGTTTCTTTTATTAAAAACCAAAGATTTTAAGATATGTGTTGTTTTTGTTATATTTGACCACCTTTCTTTTTGGTAAAATGTGTGTGTGGGGGGGGGTGTATATAATGAGGAAAATAAGACATGGAATGGAAATTAATGTGGGTTTACTTTCATTAATTTTAGGTACAGGCAACAAAAGTCAGTTTGTGCAAATCCGTCCAATTTCTTCACTTGACTTTTTAAAGTAACGAATTAAAATCAATTAAGACAATTCGACATACTGTGGTAATCTCACGTGGTGCTGTGTGTATCTAAGTAGCTAATATAACGAGTCAAACGAAAAAGTTATTTAGCTGCTTTGAATGACAATAATATTTGCCGCCAGTCACAGAGGAAATTGAAGACGGTGGGTTTGGTTCTCGATTTTTCTTGTATGCCTATGATAGGCACGGCTTCTCTTGACTATCAGGGATGTGACCGCCTATTAATAACTCTCTTGCCACAGGAAACAACATTTAAGCAAACATTATGACGATATTTCATTGCCTTTTCAATTCAGATATTTCATTCCTAGTTTATTTCGAACCTCACTTCACTTCAATTGTGCTACGAAACGTTTACTCTAAACGTTTCCACGTTATTTATTAGTAGCACGTATTATTGAATTGATATTCTCTAAACTTTAGAGAATATCGTTTCAGTATACGTGGATTTGTTTTCGAAGTGAGTTCGATTACCTGAGTGAATTCGAATTCGGGTTTGGATTTTTAGGGAATCGCTCTACTCTTATTAAGAGGTAACATGCTCTTTCAAAGAAAAAAGATTCATCAAATCCGGGTCTTCTATTGAATAAAATACATTGGAATATGTATACAAAAAAAAGCATTCAGTCGAATTGATAAGCCGCTTATTATTTATAGTTGGTTTATATGAAAATTGGCATTGTACCAGCCACATTAAAAGGTCGTCAAATCACTGGGGAGTTGGGACTCGAAACGAGGCCTTTTAAATAAGTCAGTTCAGATGTTACCCAAATGAATGATGTGCGTTAAAATGTTGCTTGCTTATTATTTTAATTAATATTATCAATTTTTTATTATATGAGTTAGATGTCGCAGTGGTTAGGAAGTTCGGTTTGCGATTGTAGAAGTTAAGCAACTGTCAAAAAGGTCAACCATAGGATGAGCGACTTTTCGTCCCGTCTGTACTTTGCAGTCACCTACATGGGCGCCGGCAGCACGGTGCAAGGGGTGCACTTGCACCCCCCTGCTTTAAAAAAAAATTATTGTTTGTATAAAAACTGAAGTCATCGAGGTTGCTGTCCAAATGTATTTATCACCTTCTCAATAAATTCGGTGTCTTCTACTCTTTTCCTGTGAACACTGAGCATGCACAAGCTACTTAGCCTCGCGTCTCCCATCGTTGAGCGATTCCACGTCTTGACACGTCGTAACGTGCTAAATGTACGTTCAATACTACACGTTTTAATAATTTGGGTAGAAACAACATCACTACATACCTGGGCTGTCTGGTCTGTCTGTATTCAATTTGGATGTCTTAATATGAGATAAATTATCTTCATCGGAATGATGATTACGTTTTTTACACAAAAAACGTCTTATGTCACTGCTTATACAGATTTATTACAGAAAATTAATTTGCTCCTTATCGACAAAGAACCGCAATTATTAATAGATACAACTAAAATATTATGATTATGAAACATGAACTGACGCAATCGCAAGTAGGGAAACCCTCACATCCATTGCGTGGCAGCGGGGATTCCCCGAGTCATAATGCCAACCATCGACTACAGATAGCGTTTAAGCAGAAGAGAGGGAGACCAATTTACCCAAAACTATTTTACTAATTTTGTTTTACTCTAGCATTAGATCAAAGTTGTAACATTATTAGGACATGTTGGTTTATTACATATAGTTACCAATATAAAAGTCAATTTTCTATAAAAAAAATGCAATGAAATTCACGTGTGATTTAAATTTTAAATTACACTCATTCTACATTCTATATATATTAGATCATAATAGTGTGTAGATGCAGATGCACCTCCCTGGAAATAATCCTGGCAGCGCCCATGGTCACCTATGCGACCTCTCCATAGAAAATACTATGTCCTGCAGTATTAATATACCTATGAGTAGGATAATAATAGCCTAGTATCTTTAATATAGTGCTAAGTAACTATACAATAGGTAATAAGGTATTATGTAGGTACTAGCAGAAGCTACTAATGTGAAAGTAAAAGAGAAAATATATATCTTATGTGGTACAAAAAAAAACTGGGTATATGATTTGGTAAAGAGATTATTATTATAATAGTGTAGCAAACGAAGAATGTTAAGTTTTAGCTGCTACGTTAACAGTAGGTGCACCACTGCAAGATATACCAGTAGCATAATCGTCTCATTTCAAAATTTCCCGCAATTCCTTTCAACGTTATAGCGAAACTAATGTTGATTTGAGTGATCAACAAGCATAATAAAAACTTAGCAACTTAAAGTAATATTCGTATCCAACTTTTGCCTTGAACAATTCCCATTAACGTCAAATATCGATATCGTTGATCCAATAACTAGATTTCAAAACATGTCGCGATCGCACTCGCTATCATATGTAAGGTAGTTGAAGGGTGACGTTAGTGAATATCTTTCACATGACAAATAAATCTATCGCAAGTCTGAATAGATAATTAAACTAGGGACGGTTATATTCTCAATATACCAATTAATATTTTAACCGTAACTTTACTTATCCACTTGATTTTTCTGGCAGTTTCGCTCGCTCGATTTTATGATTATCAAGCCCTTAATTTGAATTGGGTTGAATTTTTGAAAATTATTTTTTAGCGAACCTCTCTCCGCTCGTCGTCCGCCTGATATCATTATTAATGTGACCTAAACCTAATGTATATGTTTCTGTTGCTAAACTTACATTACAAAATTCTTGAACACAAATCTACATACACCGAGGAAAAATATTTCACTTGAAATAAGTAAGAACCATTAACCATTACGCATATAAGAAGTGATGCCAGTGATAAGTCTAATGAAGGCATTTTTCCATTTCAATCGATGGCATAGAATTTCGAAAAAATATGAATGTCTACTAAATAATGCCTACACTGCAACAATATATTATATCAGTATTAATATCAGTGATTCACTAGCTTATCTATAAGTGGAAGGGACGCTGACATGTTATAGATAACAAATAACAAATGTCAGCTACTCCTTGCTAGTGTAACGTCTGACTGGTCAGTGTAAACAATAGATCTAGTGTCTGTATTTCCAAGCCACTATGAGGAGTAGACCCATCAGGTGTATCGGTGAGTTGTATTGTATTTGTACTTTGCATTAATTTCTAACATGAAAGTCAAATATTGTCATTGAAAGTACTTTTGAATATTAAAAATGAAATGCAAATGCATTAAGCATGCATTATTTTTAGGACGCCGGTGCCACAGTCTACCTGTGGTTCTCCTGTTAGTACTGTGCGTATTAGTGGCTACTCGTCTATGGTTAGCTGATGTGATTGAATCAGTTCTGAGACCACAACTGCCGGACCACGATCTGTCGTATTTGAGGAGGAGCAGGGATCTAAAATATTATTTGCAGAATATGTGAGAAACCTTTAAGAAAGCTTATCGTTTTGATTTTGCAATTTTTTATTGACTTTTTTCACATTTATGTAACGTTAGATAAATAAATAATTTGCTTACAATTTTCACGAGTTCCTTAAACAAGCAAGTGTTTATTTCTGTAGACAGTTGCTAATAGAGCCATCGTCTACCCGCTGCGAGGGTGTGGAGGAGGTGCCTCTACTGGTACTAGTCGCTAGTTCACCCTCCCATTTGAACAGACGGGGCGCCATCAGGAACTCCTGGGCTAAACACTTTCCCACTCTCTTTTTCCTAGGAGTCGATGGCTTAGACCGTGATCAAGCATTGGTAAAATAAAGTTTCGTTTTTGTGCAGAGCTACCTCTTAAACGTCAGAGTTCATTTACGATTGGAGATGAAATATAACCCTAGTGGAAAAATTCCAGCATATTAGTTTTATTTGCATGTTAATTTGAAAGCAATTTTATCTTTAAGCTATAAATAAAATATGAAAGTGGGCTTTCCTTACGTATAAGTAAATTGCTTCTTCTCTTATTGGAGTATTATTTTAGAAAGTATTATAAAAAAATTCTCAAACCTAATATCAGTATACACATTTATAACGCTCAGGTAGATAGCTACATAGAAGCCAAAGAATCGGGAGATATGGTTGTATTCGATTTCTTAGAACACTACGACAATCTGACCCTAAAAACCGCTCTCATGCTGCACTGGAGCCAAAAACGATGTACTACCGCTAGTGCCGTGCTGAAGACTGATGATGATGTATTTGTGAACCCTTGGGTGATGAAGGAAGTTCTAAAGGCACATCAAAATAGTCAGTTGATTGGTAAGCACCTGGACATTATGTACCAACTCAATCCATTGAAGCCCTCGAGGCCATATTTGCATAATTTTATGATACTTCTACTGTTTCCTCAGGATATATGTTGCAAGATTCTAAAGTTCATCGTGATGAGTACAGCAAATGGTATCTACCTCAGTGGCTGTTTTCTGAAGACTATATCCGTGAATTTCTCACAGGTCCCGGTTACGTTATTCAAGGTAGATATCTGACTACGATACTATTATAATATACACAGAAACTAATGACGTATCTCACATCTATCAGTCAAATACGGTACAATACAGGACTACTCGGGCAAAGTCGCTTGCGGAAAGCTAAAAATCATTTTATTAAAAGTTGAATAAAAAATATTAGAACTATAATAGGCATGACTATTAACTTTTATTAATTTACCCGTCAGGAAGATTGTTGAAAGATATTAAACACGTATTTTTTTATTTATTTCGTAATCATTAAATTACGGCGAAACATTGAGTTAAAATGTCGCGTGACGTCACGCTTTGGTACATTTTATACAAAACTGTGTCGTAACGAGCCCCCACTCCTCAACTTTAATGTCTATTATGTAAGCTACTTCTTGTTAAATTGAAGTAAAAAAATACGTATCTAATATTTTTCTATAATGTGAAAAGATATAAATATAATATCTTTTTTTTACCCAGTCGTCATCCCTACCCGACGCATGTACTTATGACTTAAAAAGACGTTTATTTTTCAGGGGAATACATAAATGCAATATTGAAAGCATCTTACAAAATACCAATAGTCAATTTGGAGGATGTTTACTTTACTTTTATTGTCAGTAAAGATTCCTTAGCATTATCTTTGACGCATGATAGAAGACTGAGCCCTTATAAACCCTGGTTAGCTACCGGCTGTGCATTTTGGGGTTTGGCATCTGTTCACAGAATAACACCGAATGAGATGATCCAAATATGGAACGAAATAAAGGCTTTAGGGAAACGGTTTGAGAGAGGAGAAGAAGTGTGCACTTATTTAGGTTTTTTATCCAACGATATATTTTTGCATTAAGGTGTTTAGAAGAATTGTTTATTTTATGTTGTTGTTTTATGTTTAATAAAAGATTGATTATATAATCACTATGCACTTACATGAACAATCACCAAAACCAAGAGAGAGACATAATTTTTTTTTATTTTTACTTATTTAAATATTAATAACAAAGGGGCTGTGTCATACAGCCATGAATCCATAAACACCTCCCTCATAAGTGTAATACCTGTCTAGGTTTAACAAGTCTACCACTTTTCGTACGATAAGTATCTTGGTTAACAATGGGTATAGCTTGGCTATTTATAACATTCTGATCTAAACAATTATTAGTAGGTTGATTTACTATATTACTATTAGAATCTGTGAATGATAGATTATTAGAGTCTGGGAAAGTATTTATAGGTTCTGACAAACTTAATGAATCATAATTATTTGTGATATCCAATAATTTATAATTTCTTAAATCATAGAAATTTAGTTTAGTGAATGATCTCTTCATTTGATAAGAATTTCGCCTAAGTAATCGACCATCTCTTTCCATCATTATAATGTATGATCTAGGCTCTGAACATTTTTTCACAATTTTTGCTTTTTCCCATACATTAGAATCTCTGTAAACAACATGATCACCTATTTCAAAATTCATAACCTCTTTTATTATGTGATAATTTAGGAAAATTCTGTCTATGACATAGCTGTTGGTAAAATTTATTTTGTATTTTTGGTTTTAACACTTCTAATGTTCATGGTAAATTGGTTCTTAATCAACGACTATTTAATATTTGTGATGGTGATACATCAAATCCTGATAAAGATGTATTGTTATAATTTAATATTCCTTCTCTATAATCCTGATGTATTCTAAACATTTTCTCTGTTTGCAAATATGAACAGCTTTTTCTGCCATGCCATTACTTCTAGTATACCTTGGAGTTGATGTTATTAGAGTTATACCTTTACTTATATAATATATTAAACATTCATATGACGAAAAGGGCATATTATCAGCTATAAGTTCAATAGGAAAACCTAATCTACAGAATGTTTCCTGCATAGCATTTATAACTGAACTTGAATTTTTGTTCTGCATTGGCAGTAACTCAATCCAATGTAAATAGTAATCAATTATAACTAGAAAAGTCTTATCTTGTATAACTAAAATATCACAACCAACACTATGAGGTAAAAGATTTTCTTTATAGTTTTTTCTGCTATATTTTTCACAAACTCTACATTTAGACACATATTCATAAATGTCATTCTTCATGTTTGGCCAGTAAAATATCTGTTTAGCATTAGAGAAACATTTACTTATTCTTTGATGACCCTGATGAATAAAATCAAGACAAAGATTAATTAATGAATTTGGAACTATAATCTTTTTTTCTAAAAATAATAACCCTTCCTGATAATAAATCTCAGCCTTAAATCTTTCAAATTGTTTTAATTCAGGGGTTAGTTTCAATGGCCACCCATGCAAATAACAGTCTATTAATTTACATAATAAAACATCATTACAAGTTTCATTTCTAAACACAGTTTTTGCGTCAGTTGACATTGGTAAATATTTTGAGACAGTATGAACCATATAACTCATTTCATGATCATGTTCAGTGACATTGATGCTATTTCTGGACAACATATCAGCAAACTGCACATATTTGCCAGCATGTCGAACTCGAGAGCGTTTTGTCTACAATCAAATGTCACTTTTCTCGGGTGGGCGCACCCGATATCTCACTCTTGTAGACAAAGCGTTTCTCGGGTTTGTCATGCTACCCGTGCTGGTACATAATAGACATTTAATGTATACATGAGTAATTTTAACCTCAATCTTTTCAGCCTAGGGGAACCTATATTGTTTATATATTTATTCATAATTGCAATTATTGGCTTATAATCTGTTTCTATATCTATTATTTGTCCATAAATGAATTTGTGAATTTTTTTTACACCAATACAAATGGCCAATAATTCTTTTTCTGTCCGTCCATAATTAATTTCTGAATCATTCATTTTTCTAGAGGCATAAGCAATTAAATTTAAAACTCCGCTGTGATTTTTTTGAAACATACAACAACCTAAACCCGTTTTGCTAGCATCACACTGTAAAATTACTTTTTTATGTGGATTAAAAGGACACAGTGCTGGGGAAGTACTTACTTTATTTTTAAATTCATTGAAAGCCTTATCATGTGGACACAGTGCTGGGGAAGAACTTACTTTATTTTTTAATTCATTGAAAACCTTATCATGTATTGGCAACCAAGTAAACTCAATATCCTTTCTTAATAATTGGCATAAAGGCGACATAATAGTAGACATACCTGGGTCATACCCACGGACATAGTTAAAAGCACCTATAACTTGCATGAGTTCATTTCGGTTAGATGAAGATTTCAATTTATGGAGAGACTACACTGTTGATGGATCTATAGACATGCCATTTTCATGAAATATTTGGCCTACGTATTTAACCTTACATTGATTATACTGTTATTTGTCTTTGTTAAAAATAACACCAAGTTTTCTAGCAATCTCTAATACTTTTGCCAGTGTGATGTCATGTTCCAATGTAGTTCCACCACACACCAAGAGACCATCAGCCATCAGCCCATACTGTTACATTTTCCACATCACTGAACTGATTTTCAAGTACTTCTTGGAATAACTCTGGAGCATTCGTGGGAGGACTAAATATTTATATGCTCCAAAGGGTGTTACAAAGCAACACTTCCACGATGCATCGTCTGTAAGTGACAAGTGATGAAAACCTTCTGGTAAATCTAAAATTGTGATTTTTTTTTCCTTTCATTTTATAAGCTAATTCATCTAATGTGGGCATTACTTTAAGCTTTTTTACTATATATTTATTTAAATCTACAGGATCTAAACATAAACGTATCTTTTTATTTGACCTTTCAACCAAAACTAACCAATTGATACAAGCTTTTGGATCAACTTTGTCAACTTTAACGATAGCATTTCTTTTCTCTACCCTATCAAGTTAATTTTTTAACGTTTCTCCAAGCGAATGAGATATTCTTTGAGACGCATGGTATATTTCGAGCAGGAATATCAAATTTACCTGCAATGTGACCAGTGCCAGAAAAAACATTAATGTTGTTGCTTATAAACTTATTTACATCATCAGCGTCTGAAACAATTTCATTGGTAATAATAATAATAGACACTTTATTGCTCACACATAATTATTAATATTAAGATAACAATATTGGTACTAACGCTTGGGTGGGCAAAGGCGGTCTTATCGCTGAAAACGATCTCTTCCAGACAACCTTTGTTTCGTGTAACATGTGGAGAGAAAGACCGGAGCTAATAGAAAAGATGTAAGCCAAAAATAATATAGTAAATAAATAAATAAAGCACTATGATACTGAAGGTAAAATACACAAACATGTGAAATAGAAAATAAAGAATATCTTATAAGTACATATCTAAAAGATGCTTATGTAAAATAGATTTGAAAATGGCAAAAGTTTTTGCATGTCTGTTTTCAACAGAATAGCAGACGGCAGCTTATTCCAGGGCCAAGCAGCTTTAATGGTAAAGGATTCATGGTAATATCCCGATCTAGTAGGAGGAATCTCTAGCACATTATTCGTCCCAGACCGCAGCTCACGACTATGATTTACGCCCAGAAATTGGAAACGTTCCTTACGTTAAAGGTAAGAAGGACTACGAGGATCATATAGGATTTTATACAGGAAAGTGAATACATGCTCTTCACGACGCTGTCTTATGGGCAGCCACTTAAGCCTACGTCTAAATTCAGTTATGTGGTGTATTTTCACAAACCGCATATAAATCTAATACAAAGATTTGTAGACGCTGAAGTTTGTTGAGTATGTCCTCGCTTAGATCAATGAGACAGACATCAGCGTACTTCAAAATTGGGATAAATAAAGATTGCGCCAACTCAATTTTAGTTTTCAAAGGAAGCAGATTTTTCCATCTTCTAAGTGCCCCCGTGGCAGCAAACACCTTACGATTGACCTCAGCAATGTGCGGGGAAGGATAAAAAAAAGGCCCAAGTTTCTTACTACACTACTAGGGATAGACTGATTTCACTCAAGGTAAAAGGCGAAATGACCATATGATTGAACTTTGCAATCTGCCTCGCGCCACCGATGATGATAGCTTGCGATTTATTGGGATTAATTAGTTTTTCTTTGACTTTGACAATCTATATTATACTACTTATTCATCATAAACAGTCCTTTTTTTTTTTTTTTTTTTTTGACGTTGAGAAATGCGTTACGCATACCCGCTTCACCTTGCGCGGGTGATGTGGGACTCCTCCTGTGGCCCCACCCCGAAGGGGCTAGACAAGAAACAGAAGTTTACCCACTAAAACTCAGCGATGTCCCTCTCATGGTGGGCGATGCGCGGGATCGGCCCGGAGGCCATGCACCGCGCGGTTCGCCCCCAATCATAAACAGTCCTAATATACAATATTGTATAAAGAATACCACTCATCAAAGACCTCATCAACCACCATCACTGACAGGACTAGTGGCTTAGCCAACCAAAAGATTTTATCGACCGTCATATGTAAGTACTTTTTGATCTCCGTTATCAAAGAACCAATAAAATGCAAAACCATTATCAATTATGAAAAGGCTCATATTACGGAGTGAGTTTCTGCCAGGTGTGTTGATAAATTTTACGAGTTTTAGTCTATTTTGTCATTGTTGCAACTCATTCATAGCGAGCCAGGGTTAGACTAGGGTAATGTATGTGAAAATAATCACTTTCTTTTCTAAATCTGATCAGAAATAATAATATATCTGATCAAACCAGCTTGATGGTGCATCGATTAGTGTGTTCGATCTGCGATATATGGCTAAGCAGTTTAGTTTGGCAGCTCGTGATAATTAATGTTAAGCAAATATTCATTAGGACGACTTCCTCCTAGCTTCGGAATTGGAAGATACGTTAAAGATACATTTATATACGGTAGCGCCAACCTCACCGCTAGTACCTCATTAGATTTAGGACGCTTGAGTATTCTAAATAATTTAACAATCTGAAGCACATTTCTGGACCTGAAAAGCATTAGGTCGGATGTAAAAAAACTGTATAAAAACAGAAATAGCTAAATGCAATCAAAATATTTGAAAAAGTCGTCTGATCCGACTTTATGCATGACTGTTGCTCATGAGTAAAAAGGCACAAACATACAAGAGTTAATTTGCCGGAAAGAGAAAAAAGAGTGTAGCAACGTTATGGCGATAAGTGATTTTAGCTGGTTCTGCACATCCGACCTAATGCTTTTCAGGTCCAGATTTGTATTTGCTTTTTTCCTCGGATTTAAACAAATTTCGTTTGCCTTACACGACTTTCGGTGTAACATCTAAACCTCTGCTCAACCCTAATGGGATCTCATGTAGCTTGGTAAGTATATTTCTGCCTTTTATAGATTTAATTATCAATCATCAGTAAAAATAAACAATTAATTAAAATTTCTTAAACAGATATAGTAATACAGTAAAACCTCGTATTTTAAATTATTAAAGTTGTTTACAAAGTTCTAATACTCAAACATATGTACTTAATATATATGGTGCCCTAAATCCGCAGCTGGTATTTCTCAAACAATGCATGACGGCTGCTAACGAGCCGTAAAACTATAAAACTTGTGGGCACCCTCATCTGTCACCATCGTATTTTCACTAAATATGGACACCAAATCTGTACTGCTGGTTATCACACTGCTCGTTTCCCTTTTCTACCATCAGGCTGAGGCAGGTTAGTACGCAATAATGTTATTACTATTCTTAGTGAAAAATGCTTAAAAAATAAAAAGCAACAAGTGCTTGAAAGATTTGTCAGTCCTGTTAGATCCTAGGTAGCTCAGTGGTTAGAGTCGCCTGGATTGCGAAAGGTCATGGGTTCGAATCCCATCCCAGAGTACCAGGGACAAAGTGGATTTTTAAGCATTTTACATTAAGAATATTTTCCAGTATATCATTGTGAATACAACATTGATCAAATATATTAAATTTTATTACTATTTAGGATATTAAAGAAGAATACTGAAAAATATACAAGCGTGTCATCTTATCCTATAGCCAATATTATAGATATTGTTACATATATTGATCTCGCTTGTGAAGGGAACAATTTAAACTTCGCGGGGTCTTAGTAGTATCGGGATTTCACATATAGGAATTAAGAATAGTATGTTGTGTAAATAAAACAAGGAATTACCTAACTAATGTAACTTCAACTTTGGTTTACGAACTACTTAGTATAGTGCAAACCAAAACGCACTGGGTCCGTGGAATTATCCTATTTGATTCCATACTTAGGGAAGGTCGATGAATCAGCCTTCGGATATGAATTAGGTGAAGATGATAATGATGACATTGATGAAAGTTAGAAGTTTTTCAAATATGTAAACTTTCGATTATAATAATAAATGTGTAAAAATTAATATTAAATAAACCAAGCTATTTTTAAGCTTACGTTTCACTAGACATGCTTTACGCAGTTAATACATGGACTTAATCGAATCATCTATACTTACATCACCAACTTGAGTTGCCTTACGATTAGACTAGACTTCAGGTTCCTTCAAATAGATGGCGTTAAGGAGCAAAGTATGGGATATGTACCGCAGTCAAAAAAGTTTTTATAACAGCATGGAAGCAAAACCTACGATTGGGTTTTATACCCAGGCAAGAGCTAATAGTATTAGCCTTAGAGATCTTGGGTAAAAGTGTGTTCTAGCAAAAAATATTTTCAACAGACACTAGGTACTTTGTGAGAAAATAAAATGGTGACGTGTAAATATTTTATATTTAAGTGTAATTATAAAAAGTCAATTAGTTCATCTACCCAGACCCTTTGCGGGTAAACGGAAAAAAGCTGATCATAAGCCACGAAGTCATTAGAATTTAGATTATATTTATTTTATTAATATATATTTTTAAGTTAACATACTTTTCTATTCTGTTCAGCAATTATTCATGTGAATATTGTTGATAGTGAAATATATAATAGAGCAGAGAATTGCTAGTCATTCATATTGAAACAATGGAAATCAAATAAAAGTACAATGTTGTGGTACAATGATCTGAGCAATGTATGTGATGTTGTCAATATAATGATGCTGCCCAATCACAATTACAGAACACTAATCGCGTAGTTAAATCATATTAAATGAATAGATGTATATTACCATCAGGTGTCCATTGTTCACATAGATAATTAGTACAACAAATAAAGTTCAGCTAAAATAAGAAATCAAATTTTCTAGAGTTTTATTTCAATAAAGTGTTCCCAAAAACACCCGAAGAGCTCACATCTGAAGGTTTGGATTGTTATCCCGGCCGTACTGTCATCAAAATAATTGAAAAAGAACCGGAACTTGAAAAAGGTGACTCTGAAGAAGATGAAGATCGTCGTGCTTATTCACGAAGATCTCACATGAATTCTAGACTTAAAGAAGAATACTGTAAGGTCTGTGTCTGTTCCGACGATGGGAAAGCTGAATACTGCAGTGGTAGACCTGCTGTAAACGTCAATGAGTGCTTGAGGATGACGCTCATTTTGAAAGAGTTCAATGAAAGTGTTCCATATGATCATACAAGAGGTTTGCCCTTTAGAATCCGAAGAGGTTTGTATTAGGTAAATGATGTTTTACGTGCAGTTGAAATAGAGCTGGAATAATGGTAGTGTCATTATTTGATTTCGTTAATAATTTAACTAGATCGATTGATTTCTTTCATGAAGCTGTTTTTCAAGAAACACATACGTTAAAAATATACACGAGTTTCTTGCTATTTACATTTTCATCATTCGAATAAATCTAATATTATTTTTGTCTGTATTAATTATTGTACGCTAAATAAAATTACTTTAAATTACATGCCACTTAACTTTGGCGTATATAATACAGATTACATTTGGCACAACGATGAGATCCCGTATGAACCGAAAGCAAAGTGCAGGAGAGGTCACTCGTTCTACACGAATAATCAGAACGCGAACGACACTGACATAGACATATCCTCCGACATAGAATCTCTTCTCGACTACACCAATAGGAACATCTGCCTGTACTGCGTATGCGCCGTCCACGGCCATGGTGTAGACTGCATTGACAGGGATCGTTGGTTCTGTGATTACCAAAGATACATGCGCGAAAGGGACACTACGAGAGATATGTACACTCGCTTATTCCAACAAGACAGGCCAACATACTTTAGAGAATTTCCTTGGCGTCTGAGAAGAACGATGGATGACGGCATTTACAATTTTGTCGAAACCGGTATGCAATACCACAAACTACTTTATTGGCACCGGTTTTGTTTATAGTGATTCTGCTTTTTTATTTATATTTATTTTCTTAGTTGTAATCTTATGTGCGTAACAGTATGGCCGTTATAATTTATTTTGAGAGAGTATTAATATGTATGAAATACGGAAATTATTTGGTGGTGTTTTTATTTTTTTGCAACATATCGTCTTCTGCAACCAATCCTGTCATCATGAAATTTGGGTTTTATGCTCAGGTTTCGGTTTTTGTTAAAGTCTTTCCTCTTACGTTTTTTATAACAAAGTTAATGTTGTGACATTTTTTCTGGAAATAAAGTAAAGATTGGACGTTGCAGGAGGCGATGCGTTGTGCTGCAGTCATCCTAACGGTCACCGGAGACAACTACACAACGGCGTAAGAAACAAGCTGCATCTTATGAGAAGGAAAGTACCCCATGAAAATCTATTGGGTGGTTCTCCTGGAGGAGACTACGTGGATTTTATTGTTAATAATGATTAAATGGCAATCACTGTAGATTTGTTATCAGACAGAAGGAAAGGAAAGATCATGGCAAAATAATAAATTTATATAAATTATAAAATTTGGTGAACTATAAAATGAAATGTAAAAATTAATGCAATATACTAAATTGTGTTTCAAAATAGTGGGATTCAAATGAAGAGAATATCAGTATTTAAAAATTGTTTGATATAATGAAAAAAGAATTATTGTTGTGACGTGTAAGATTGCAGTGCGTGAAGTGATTAAGTGTATTTTTTTACCTTTTTACGTTTTTATTTCTAATAAATGTGATTTTGAATATTAGTGTTCATTCTGATGTTAAATACCAAGTTTGAATTTGCACATATTATATTTTTCTTTTTTGATAAATAGCACACTTGCACCACAATGCACGCTTTTCGGTTTTTATTTCAGCTGCACCATCTTTGATTGGACGTACACATTTGGTTTGAATCGGTTATCCAAATAGATATTTTTGTTTGAACAAGCATCGTTTCGGAAAATAATACGCTGGCTTCTAGTCTTGGAGTAAAGAATATAATTATAGCTTTAAAAGTAGTTCTTACATATGACGGAATGATAGATTGAAATATTATTAAATAAAAAATATATAGAAATATATCTTAAGAGCTATGTAAATATTGGTACCTTAACAGGATAATTAAAGCATTTTTTATTTAAAAAAAAAACCGAATCAAAGCTATATGTGAACTCATATTCACCACATATTAATTAACTATTAAGTTTTATTTATTATTTTAGTATTTAGTTTTGTTTTTCTAAATGAGGTTTACCGCATTTTATTATTTGAGTCTGAAGATACATATTGTTTGTTCTTGTGATGTCAGGATTGCTGTTGCAAATTGTAGGAAATTCAAATAAAAAGTGTGGTATATTCAATTATTGGTCTAGCGATTTTCAAATAGAATAACAAGAAAGTTGAATATTAGAACTTTTTAAACAATTAAAAAGTAAATATAAGTAATAATTTGAGAACGATTAGGGTACTTTACAAGTAATAATAAGATAAGTTTAATATCTCATTTTTTACATAATCCAGAACATAATTATGTAAAATTTATAACCACAAAAGTCTTCAAGAAAAATGTCATGTCTTAAACATTAAATATTATTTTTTAAAGGCCAAAATAACTTGATATAGAATGGTTTAAAGGTAAAATAAATGGAGGAAAGTTTCCGCATATGGAATATTGAAATTTGTAAGTTATTCCTAAAGGAAAAAATTGTATGTAAATTATCAATAAGTTAAGAAAATTCGCGCTTAGTCGCTTGGCTTATTTCAATGCTTCTATGAAGAATAATTTAGCAAGTTATTTCTGTATTCCATATTTGTTTATTATACTCCTCTATATGTTTATTGACAGGGTTTCAAATAATTTCTAACATTTCAGTGGGATCTCCCGATAAAACAAATAAATGCATACCATTTGTGTCACAATATACGGATTGTACAGATGGTAAGTGAATTCTTTTATTTTTTACTTTTGATGATATAAATTATTTAGTTTTGACTACTGTATTACAGCACTATTAACGTCCTGTATTGAGTTAGCGTGGTGAGTTGTAGCTGTATGAACCCCTTTTCTCCATGTGATACGGTTTGTTTATCTAGTGTACCTATTATAATATCTGTGTTAAAGAAAAGGATTTTCATGATAATGGTATATAAATTATCTTTAAATTTTTAAGAATTTAATCGTCTTCCAAATGTTGTTGAGGGAATTTTCAGGATTAAATGTTAACCTTTCAAGATGTACTTTAGTCGTTATGAAGACAATTGATTCATTTGAAGAGTATCATTGGATAACACCGAATCTTAATACCATCTATCGAAATACGTGGAGTAACGTGAGTATATTGATTAAATGATTAATGGTAATGGTTTCTTATAGAAAACCTATGCGCAGGCTGCAACAACTGCTTTTGTGCTGGAAGTGGAGAGTGGGTATGTAATAAAGTGCAACAATGTCCAGGAGAAGAAACTCTGTACAGTGTAGACGAAGAGAGTCTTGAAGATGCTTTGAATAAAATAGAGGAAGGTATAAGAATCCTCGATTTTATAATATCTTTATAGTTAATGTGTAATGTTTTTATGAATTGGAATTAATTTGTCTATTAGAAGGTCTTTGTAAAAAAAACTGTACTTTTATATTTTTACGTCACGATAGTATAAGTAAATGATACGTATGGTGAGATGAATTACTAATTTTTGTGTCATACTTTTTAATTCTGCAGAGTTAAAAAGCAATTTTAAAGAGGCGAAGCGAAATCTTAGAGACCCTTTTGTTCCCGCGCCTCTTAAGAAAGGAGATGACGATGATGCTCTTTTGGGTTTGTATTCAATTAACTAATGATAAATCTAGGAATGATTAATTAAAGGTTATAAATTGAAAACAGTTGTAAGATCAATGATGGGACGAGCTACCAATATTATCGAGATTAATTTATTCTAAAAGTTACTTAAAGCCGATCACTTGGGATTATTTTAATGTATTAAACATATCAATCACATAAAAATCACAATAACTCTGAAGAAATGTATCTAGGATGTACGCTATGATGTTAGCCCTTTCTTTAATATTAATGTTATGTCTGTTTTCTGTTTATAAATAAACATGCTTTTTCTGACTATATTTTAATTGAATCGATATCTTTATTGTTTCCAGGTTATGTTATAGCTGTACCTTAACAAGAAAGCACCATGCACTCACTTTTTAAAATATAGCACTTTTGCACCTAACACATTGATTTTTATTATGATCCTATAAAATTTTTATTACGGTAAGTCATTATTGTGTTGAAGTCAAATTATTGTTTAATTTACTAATAAAATTTATTAAAACATTCCAGATGAAGAAGATTTCAGGACTGAAACGAATTTAGAGACAGAATTAACAAAAATACTTGGACGAAAAAAGAGATCAGTCGAAAATGAACACAATAATACTATCAGATTCTATCATGCAGTTGATGAATTGAATGAAGGTATGGTAAAAAACAAGACAGATTTGATTTTTAACAGCATCAAAAGCTTTTTGTTTGTAAAATATTTAACAAAAATATTTTCGTTGTAGATATTTTAAAAAATGACAATAGATCTGGTACCATTGAAGCCAGAAAAGTCGCTAATTTACCGAAAGCATCACGGCGAGTTGGTATATCAAATAATGAATCATTACTCATTGAATTTAGTGAACCAAAGGTTTATGATCGAAATATTGTTGACAACAAAATAGATAATTCCGTTCACAGTGAAGATAAATATACCAAACTGGAGAGGGAAAAAATAAATGGTTTAATTGGAAATCATTCATTAAAACAAAGAGACAAAGAGCTATCTAAGTTGATAGTGAATGAACTCAAAGAAGGGTCTGAATTAATAGGCGACAAAAATGCACCTGTCATGTCAAATGTCACATTTACGCCAGAAAATGATACTTTGACAGCGATGGCATTCATCGCTGGTAATTTATTAAATCAACTATGGGATATAGAAAAAGACTCGAACGAAGAATCAAAAGATATTGAAAATTTAAAACATGAAAAAATTGCTGATTTGCTTGAGCTATTTAAAGAACCATTAAACATAAGACAAGAAACTTTTTTGAAAAGTGCTCTAGAACATCTCTCTGCAGCTATTGACAAAGAAAAAGTTTTGAAAGATGTTACTTTATGCGAAAAAATCAACGAAGCAAAACAGCTTATAGAAGACAAAGATGATTCAAATCTTAGAAATAATAAAACGAAAAAAAGTCATCAAGAAAAAAATCAAGAGGTAAAGAAGATAAAAGATACAGAAAATGACGCCACTTATCAAGCAATAACAAAAGTAGGTGATGTGTTACACTTGATAGAAAAGTTTCAAGAAGTACATAAGACATTAAATGATTTAGTAAGGTCAGAAAAACATGACAGTCAATTAATTTCAGAAGTTCCCAGACGAAAGGCAGAGTCAAAAGTGGAACTAAGCAGTGATGAAACTGTTTCTTTAAATGTTTTTGGAAACATTTTGGAAAAGATAACTAAACTCCTGATGCCTCATAAGAAAACCAAAAAAATTGTTAAAGCTGTAAAAAGTCACAATCTCTTTACAAAATCGAGTGATGTCACTCAGACTTTAAAAGAGAAATATGGGATTGATATTGGTAATTCAACATTAACGGCTAAAGATAAAATAATCTTAGATTATCTGAATACTGTCAAGCAAAAGCCAAACTGCATATTTCAAAATCCTCACGACGTTACAAAATCCTTTTCTAATGTGGAAGGTGATATTTTGTTTAATTTATCTGAATTTTTCAAAATCAAATCTTTTGTAGATTTACTGAATTTATTGGAGATTGAAAAGAAAACCGTACGTATTAATTATGATGCTGCGAAACCAGAAGTTACGACAGTGTTGACAAAAGTTCCCGAAGTAACTTCAACTACACCACACTCCACTAGGTTTGCAAAAACAAAAGAACGACTTAAAGATCATATCAAATCAATTATTGATGACTTACGAGAACTACAGTTGGTTAAAGGATTTCCAACAAATAACATAACTATAGCGGATGCATTACCCTGTATTTATAATATATTGAATGCTGATAATGAAACGCAGGTTAAGTACACAAAAAACGATTATTTATCACCTGTAGAAAAAGTTTCAGTAATTTTTAGCTCTCTTAAAAAAGACCTGTTAGCTGTACCGACAAGAAGAGCTAACAATATAGTTACACAAACTAGACCAAAATCAGCCATTGTATGGGAAAGAATTGTAAAGAACTATGATGGTAAACATAAAAAAAATACTCGTCGTGTAATAGACAATAAAAAACCTAAATCCTTTAACGACTTGATGAAAATGATAAAACCGCTGGAACAGATTTCAAATTCTTATAAAAGCAGAATCCTTATTAAAGGAGCTGAGCCTTCTAAACAACAAGTTTTGTTAAAGACCCTTAATGAAGAAGTTAGAAAATATATTGAGGTTTTAGAAAACATTCAGTATGCCCTTCCCAGCTTAAAAACTTTGTCAGTGGGTAAACAAAATGAATTGAAAGAATTTGTGTACAATGCAGGTCTACATATTAATTTAAATAATAGAGTCGTTAAGAGTTTAAATAAGTTTGGTGTAAATAAAAACATCAAAGGAGATGTAGAGATAATTAATCCTAGAAAAGAAAAGGTACTTAAAAATAATTTGGAAAAGAAACAACCTGCGCGTGCGTTTTCTACCCCTGAATCAAAGAAAAGCCTTAAATTAACCAGAGATGAAATTATAAATCAACTTATAAAAAACAGAATGCACGTCTATATAAGGGCGAAAGAATCAAAAGGGATTGATCTTAATAACGACGTAAATTATGCAATAGCAAAAAAAATATTAAACTATTTAGAAATAGGTAATTATAACCTTGCAAGAGAATTATATAAATTTATAATCAGTCAAAAAGAACAAGCGAGAGATGTTTCCACAGAGTACACCACAGGTAATTAAAATAAAAATCATTGAACAGAATTAACCAATAAATCATAATTTCCTTGCACTTTTGACAGTAATGTTTACACACAGCACGTCAGGTTATCATTCAAAGTTATTGACATGTGTTGACTGTACAGATAGCAGAATGTCAACGCCTTCTATAATTTTGAATTTTACTTTTAACTGATTATAGGGTCAAAATTGATGAAGACATTTGGCTACTGCTACAAAAGTAGTAACTAGACGTGACATCAAGTAATACTAAATCTTTACATTTTCAGCATCCTCTGTAAATAAGTATTTATATGGATTTGCGAAGGAACCATTGCTGAAATTCGAGGAACCAACGACTGAAAGTCGACGGAGGAATCGCAATTTATGGCTAAAACAGCTAATGAATTTAAAGAAAATGTAGAACAAAATGCAATTACATATAATAATTTTGTACATTTATATCATATTTTGCCAATAAAATAATCTCATTAAAACTTGTATTTATTTTTGTTATTTTTATTATTAGGCAAGTTTTTATTCATACAACAACTATGGTAATTCCTGGAATGATATTATTATTCATGTGGTTGAACTGCAGTTGTTAGTTTCGTCGTTGCCATTGTGGTTGAAGCGTTGTTACCTGTCACGAAATGTTTTTATTAATTTATTAGTCAGTTAAATCATGTGTAAGTGTGTATCTAGTCAGTAAATTTATCTAAGTATGATACTTTATAATAAAAAAATAAAAAAAATTAAAAAGTTTAATACGTACGTCGGTTATGTTTTTTATTTTTTGGTTTCGCGCGCCTCTTGTTTTTTGTGGAATTCTTCATACCATTATGCACTTTCCCTCTTAAATATTTTGGTAAGATGTTTTTTATTTTGTTTTTTATATCGTCAAAAGTGAGTGCCGCACGTTTTTTTCTTGAAATGCTCAGGTTTTTTTGCCATTTCCGCATTACACTTCTATACTTTGTTAATTTTGCTTGTACTATCTCATTAAGCTTTTTTCTAGCTAGTTCTTTGACAATCTCTGCTTTAGGAACCTTTTTACGTAGAAGACCGACGATATCTTTCTTGGAATTTTTTAATAAATTTCTTATGTACTTTATCAGTGTCTCTTTTTTAGTTGAATTGAAATTACTGTTCATTCTATGTATTTCTTTTGGTATTTTCTGTTGGAGATTAAAAATCTTTTTTACTTTAATATGTATTGACTTTAGTTCGTTATTAATCCTTATCAATTCTCTTTCACTGACATTATCTTTTACTGTTGTCAGTCTACGACTACTGAAGAAGTCTAACTTTTTTATAGCATTAGTAATTTTAGTGATATCTGATAAAAGAACTAACTGTAATGATTTCAAATTGTACACTTTATCAACTGGTTTACAGTTCATAATATTCGATGCCATTTGTTTCCATTTTATTCCTATATCGTTTAATTCATTAGCAAAATTATATTGTGGATCGTTTGTTTCAGGATATTTGATGGAATTTTGTTGAAAGTTGTACATTTTTATTATTCTTCTTAATATTTCTTTGGATTTAGGAGTTAAAGTAGCGAGCGCGTTTGATTGTGGCATATCCTGATCTATAAGTGTTATAATATCAATTAAATATCTTTTAACCAAGTATTCGTTAACTGGGTAAGGGTCTGTCCAGTGCCTTCTCATATTAACCTTTTCATTAGTCTTTGTTATCGTAGGATTCTTTTCAGAAAAAATATTTTCCGAGTGGTGAAGATAATGTCGCATAGCTCGTACAAGATTTTTCAATGGCGGTGAAAAATGATGTTTTCCGATATACTTCTGTATTGTTAGTAGATCTTTTAGTACGACTAAAATGTCAAGTTTTAGCCTATCTAAGTAATTGTCAGTTTTATTTTTGTTATTTTTGCGGTAATCTTTGGATATCTTTGGATTTATTTCTATGTTATAATATGAGAAGTACGCATTATTAATATTTCCCATCATCGAGTCCCTAGTCATATTTATAGTGTCATTTTGAGTTTTATTGTATATTAAATATTCCAATATTTTTCCTTTGACATACAATAAATTTTTTAATTCTTTTTCTTTAGATGCAATCAATATATCTAATGATGGCATCATAGAAGATTTAAGTAAAACATTTATCTGTGTATCGTTATTGATAGGTGTTATAGTTGTAACATTAATCTTAGTATAATTAGTTGCAGTGTAGTTGTAAAGTTTGTCTAACTCAGAGACATCCCTTTTCACTATAGTAAAATCAAATATATCATTAGTATTTTCAAAAGTAATGTTTTTGATTTCATCTGATTGATCAAACCATTTTTCCTCATTATCTGAAATAGAATTATCGTGATTAAATATATATGGTGGCAATAAATGTTAAACTAAATGAATATAAACAACTTTTGTAGAGATTTACTTTGAAACAAATGTTCTATGTGAATAATAACATGTTCTTAATGATTAAAATTTAAATGTTAAGAAGATGGAAGGACAAATGGGCCTTACCGCTAGAATTAAATTTCATAACTGATGTGTCCATTCCTATTTTGTTTCTCGCTGCCTCTAAAAGATCTATTACTACTTCTGTGGTAAATTCTGTAGTTACTTCTAAGTTATTACGATTATCGATAGCGTCAAGTATATCAATAAAATTATCAGAAGTTTTCGCATCATTGAAAGTATTGTAAGTAACATTGGTGTCATCGAAATTCATGTAATTGTTATCCATTGTTGTATCATTAGATAGATTTAATGGTTTTCTTCGATGATACGCTTTACCTTCAACTAGAATATTGTAATAACTGTCACAATGTTTCTATTTTTATAATGAATATTAAAATGGAAATATACTTTTGAAAAAGGCTTACTTTCATCATTAGTAGGATTGATAGTAGCTACGTCTATTTTAGTATTTTTTTTACTCATTCCTAAAGTATCGACTATATTACTTCTGTCGTCAATTAAAGGCTTTACTGCGTACATCCATTCTGCTATTTCTGCGTAACTTAATTTGTGAGGTTTGCTTTCATTAACTTCTGGTAAATACGTCCATCGTTTTATTCTAAGCGATGTATCATCTGAAGTTATTGTCTTCATTTCTGACAAATAATGAGATGTAAATTGTTTTAAAATTTAATGAATCTATAAAGTATAAAAACCAAATCTACAGTTAAAAAATTTAAGTTACACCATATTCTACTCTGTATTTTACATTGTGTTTTGTAAGGAATAGACTTTGAAACTATTGGACCGATTTTAAAAACACTTTCTCCTACAGGAAGCTACATCATACGCGGGTGACATAGGTTATAAGTTACGCGGGTAAAGTTATAGAAAAAGTTTGTTTAAGACAACACTATACAGTATTACACAGAACAGAGATAAAGCTAAGAAAAACATCACAAAAAAGATATTGAGGAAGTTTTGATGCATTTACAAAGAAACCTGAACACAATCAGAAATTGTTCAGGGATTAAAGACTTAGGTACACATTAACTCAGGGCAAGGCGTCCTTTTTTTGTTCTGTATCGTAGGTGGAATGCTTAAGCACTGCCCCTGCCGCTTGTTAGGCGACAGGGGCGTGTATGGAACATCATCCATATGGACCCGCCAGAAGGCTAGTCAAAACGCGGTCGGAAGGAGAAACTTTTAAGGAAGGCTTAGGATGCAGCAGGGACTGTTCCACACCCAGACCCCGATGTTTGACCCCCCGGTGAAGGGGTCGTCGTCAGCGAGAAGATAAAGAATCAAGCAAATACAAACGTTATCCTTGGACTGTGAACCGTTCGCTAAGTGGTCATGTCAGCCTAAGGGCAGGGCGTTCTATCCAATATCACCGTTCCTGTTTCGGAAAGTTACCGACGCTCATTCATTAGAGTATGATACCAAAAGACACTAAGTTTGTCTTCGATACTACTGTTAAGAATACAACCTTAAGCTGAGAGGGTCTAAGATACCGAGTTTTATTCTAGACCGTCTGGGGCCCGGGTGTTGTCTTGGAATATACCTTGAAATTTGAGCAATACATATCAAGTACCATTTATGTAATTAGACATTTAAGAATGCAAAATCGATTGATTACTTACCGTCAAACAGAGTATCTATGACAGTGATTAGAGTATGATGGTCTACATTAAGGGGGTCATCTTGTTGACAATTCTGAACTATAGAACAATTCCATAAACCATTCTCGTCGCAGATGCAGTTCTTGCAGCCAAGGCAAATGTTTTCTGTAAACCGATTTAATGTATACCGATATTCTTTAAACAAAGAATATCGTACAACAGAAGCTTTACAACAGAACCAGAACAGAAATTACTTATTCTTCCAGGAGCGAATTACGATAATCGTTGAAAATACTAATTACGCTAGTTTCTAGGTGTCCTTATCTATTAGATCCTGGGTGCAATTCTTGGTCGTGTCAGTATAGAAAATATGATCTGTATATTGTCTGTAATTTCTTTCTAAAACACAAGGGCAGCTACTTTGTTCTATTTGTGATGTTGTCCAATATAAAAAATGAAATACTGGTAGGTTATTAGTGTTTTAGGTATTTAGTTTCTTTATAAACAAATACCAAATTCTACTAACATTATAGTTAGAAACGATCGAAATAAGTACGATGTATTTTTCGTAAAGATTCTTTCTATTTAGAATTGCAAATACTATACCTTTAAAGCAATCCGTGTATTCGGATATCAGTGGGATGCACTCTTTGAAAATTGGTGGGTTTGATGCTGCAATGTCAAAATTATACATTTTTTATTAAATCTACCGCTTGCACCTTCTTGGCGCAATGGAATATTTCGCGCAAAATTTTTCTCTTTTGATATGAATTTATTGGTTTTATAAAACTTCACAATATTAAATATTAACAATATTAAATATTATTACTAGTACAAGTTGATTATTGGTGATTCTTAGATCTATTTAGTGTGGCTTAATTTTTATTACATATTTTCTTAGGACAGAGGCGCTGTATGCTGAAATACAGGTATCAACCAAGTTCAGCAACAGATGATAAATAGATATTAATAAAAAAATATATAAGAATCACTGGTGTAAAAATTTGTTGTATCGATTATATAGTCAATAAAGGTTATTATAATTTTGAGATGGTTATAGTTGTTTAGCCTTAGATGAAAAAAAAAATGATAATATCTTTATTTACCTTTTCTGATAATAAACTTATTACTAATTGCTAGAGTTCCCTTTGAAGCATGACAATGCCAGTGTTAGATGGATAAGAGATTAATGTCAATGAAAATAATGAAATAACGTATGGAGTTATTAGTGACAGTGCGCTGTTGCTGCCACCAAATATGCAGATATTTGGCGTTACCGTCTACTGTAATATTTAAAGGTAATATATTTTCCAACAATCGGAATAAAAATAACGTATTAAGAACAGACCTTGTTCGACCATGTTCATTATCAATAGGTCCACTTGTACCCTGATGTCGTCTGATGCAGTTCTCATTTGGATTTCGTCGGAGTCATCTTCGTTATTACCATACAAAAGCACTGATGTTGCCGAGTAGAAATTGCATCTGCAAACCAGGATATTGGATATTCAGTTTTATGATAGTTTTGCAGCAGAGCCGAAGTAAATATTTTTTATACAGTATAGGCTGCTTGTGAAAATTGAAAACTATGATTTCTATTTATAAATCCACATTGGGAAAACGTTAAGAATAACCAGCAAGAAACATAGCAACGGCTGTCTATTTTGTCCTGTTTTAAATCATGTGGTGAATATGATTTTACACAAAAAATACATAACTGTCACATTCAAAATAAAAAAGACTACATACACGATGGTATCCTTATAAGAAACTAAGAAAATTAGTATTTTCTACGATCTTATCTTATTTCTTTGCTCTTTCTTATATCGGAATAGGCAGACACTTGAAGTTTTCACAAATATGATGCATTATTGTAACTACCTGCCGGAAGATTGTACTCGTAGTCATTCATAGAGTAGTGAGTAAAAGGTAATAGTGAGCATAATAGTAATTTAATTGAATTTAATATTTTTTGAATAAATAAACCTTCTTAACTCTCCTCACCTTCATCATAAGGAAGGTCTGAGTCCCTGCAGTGGAAACGTAGACGTAGGACTGTGAGATACTGATGATGATTTATTTCAAAAATGTGTCCCTTTTCTATCGTTTCGATAGGGACAAAAATATAAAAAAAAAATTTTTTTTTTACGAATATGGAATTGTTCTATTACTGATACTGAAACACTAAAAAATGAAAAAAATCTCAGACTTGATAAAAAATATTCCTGTATAATAATAATATAGTTAACTTAAGTAAATTTCCCATTAAAGTATGTATTTTAGCATTTTCATGTATTGCTTTATACGATATGTTCACTCATTGTTCCAAGTACCTGTTATGTATTTGTAAATTACCATACCTGTATGCGTAACGTTTAAGTCATGTGAGAAATTTGAAGAGAGTTTTAACAATTTCACGAATTCATAACTTACTTACCCAAGACGCGTAACTCATTCAAAAAATGTGATAAATCTATTAATGCTAGTTAAAATTACTAATGAATGTTATGAAATATTTTAGCGTTTAAATTTAATGTCAAAATTTATTGTTATTAAAGATTATGCAAATCATACCAAATGATACTGCAGACGAAAATTCTTAATATTTTTTTAAAGTAAAACATCTATAATGTATTTTGAAGATGAGCCACTAAGCTCATCCGATCCAAATGATGGCATTAAAAATCAGGTGCATTCCTTTAGACGTAAGGTCTGTTACTATGTATATAATATAGTAACATATATATATAAATGTTCTGGGAAAGATCTATCGAAATCCCTTTTCATTTGACATTTGAAAGATATTCCCGAACTTCACGCTCAAATTATTTGACATGTGATAGCGAATAGATAAGATATTGAATTAATGATATCGTTAATTTTAGGCAATATTACTTTAAGTTACTAACTTTTAATTAAGTTTCTCGATCATATCATGATTCTTTCCGAAAGCCATTACGACTTTTAAAATTGCATTATATTCCAAAACTCGTTATGCCTTTGAAAAGTATTGCGATTAGATATTGAAATTAGGTAATTAGCCTATCGATGAATGAGACGGCTACTGTATACATTTGTGCCTCTCTAGGCAGACAGGGACTATGCCTGGGTAAAAAAAAAGAAATTCTTTTAGTCCGTCAGGCATATAATTAGATAGGGTATTTTTTTGCTTCAGTTTTACAAGAAATGGTTTAGGAAAGGCTATAAAGTTGAGGACTGGGGCTTGCTACGTCACAACTGTGTAGAATATGTACCAAGATGTGACGTCATGTGACATTTCAAGTCAATGTATCGCTATAATTTATTGATTTAACAAAAAAAAAACGTATTTGAGCTTCTTTAATAGTCTACCCGATAGGCAGGGCATATTAAAATTTGATCCTCCAAATGCAAAATCCAAAATCATGTATTTATTACGTTAAGCAGTTAAAGGAACTTTAATTATGATCATGCCTGGCAGATCTGCGGTAGAGAAAAGTTTGCAGGACTTGTCTAGTATACGAATCTCATTCTACTAGATGTTGCAGGAATAATAGTAGCATTATGTAGTGGATGGCAAGGTGGAATGTAATGTCAAGCAAGATAATAAATGGACCTCTTTAGACTGCTCTATCTTTATGAGTATGAATAAATAGATGTATGTGACAAACCTGGCACTGTTCATATTGAAGCAATCATCGCCGTAGCAGGTGTTACATTCATTATCATCACCGGTCCGTCTAGAGATGCTCGCAAATGAATTTATGTAATAAAACCTGTCGTATTCATGCCGCTGAAGAGTATTAGATACCACTGCAAGTATGGAAAAATTATATAGATTAATTTAAAGGTTTACATTTACTAAATTTGATTTGATAATAGTGAGACTTCCAGACTATGGCATTTTTGTTGAATCAATTCAGTAAATTTTATTTAGTCTAGGCATTGGTGAGTAGCTCAACGGCGCAGCGTTAGCCCTTTCGCCCTGAAAGCAAAACGTAAGCAACTCTCATGGGGACGGGATGACCAAAAATGTATCTGCAGTCGTCAATACCCATCAAATCTACACTAAAGTTAAATCTCTTGAATGACTGGATGGAATTTTGAAGGTTGTAAACAAATAAACATATTTACCGGATGCACAGACTATAGCAGAGAGTAACGCGCGCGCCATGCCCGCTGAGGAAGTGGCGTTGTGGTAATGTTTACCGTTATTCGTTATCGACCCATGGACGTACTAAGGATTAGTGAAATTTAAGTTTTGCCACCATTTTTTAATACAAAACAAGGCTATGAACATGAATGTAGATGGATAGACTGTGTGAAAGATTTGTGGGTAAGACATCTGACAGCTGATCGAGAAGTATGAAAGAAAAATATGTATTGGACCTACCCAAATAAATGATATGATGATGCTTAGCATGACAAACTTGAGAAATTCTTTATCTACACCAGATCTCACCGGTGGTAGAGGGTGGCTAAAGTTTGGATGTGAATAAAATGTCTTCGACTTACTTTACCGTGCTACATGTGCCAGTGTTGAAATGAATTATAGTTTGTTTCTACCATCTGCTAGAATTGAGAAAATGTTAAGATTTCTGTATTTTCAAAGTTATGGCCATGGTATGGGAAATTATATCAAGTCAATATACTGTTATAGTAAATAAGAATCAACGTGAGTTGTTTTAAGATAGACTAGAGATGTAATTTTATTTAAGCCTGCTGAGGCCTTCTAAAAGTTCCTTTATGAGAAAACTTCTTTAAATGTTCTCACTTGTTAAAATATTGTTTATGAAATGAATGAATTAACGAATAAAATTAACGCTAAATGTAGGATTGAAGATGATAATTAAACATCTGGTTAATTATTGTTGGTGAAGGCAACTGGGTTACCTCGAGGACCGCGGTCATGCTAATGTAGTTTAGAAGTTGTCTATATGTTAAATTGTCTTTGAGATGCGGGCAGCACCTGAGTGCCGCCTTGTATCTGTATGAGATAATTTATTGTCATCGTCTTGTCGTCAATTATGGAGATAGTGCCATGAGATAAATATTGCCAATTAAGTAAGAGATGTAACATCTCTTACTTAATTAATTAGTTGATCCATGATGACGAAATCTTTAAAACATCCGTCCAGTTCGTCCCTGTACGACAATAATGAAATATTTTCAGTTGTTTACAAACAGCGCGCGCTCGTATCGCGACCACCCCCTGGTTCAGATCTCAGTCAGGTGTCGAGCATGTTGCTGCTGCTGCTACTGCTGCCGTTTCTACTAGACCTGCTCGGCGCTAGAGGTTAGTGCCATCTCTATCTAACGCCTTAATAAAAATAGATACAAACTTACATTTAAATTACTCTTATACGTTGGGAGACCGCAATATAACTTGTATGTTGGGAGTCAGCAATATAAATTTATTTGTTTATTTAATTCAATTGATTTTTATTTAATTCAATAATTGCCTTTATTTGTTTCTTCTGTAGGACTATAGGTTTTTCTGAAGCAATCATTGTAGTAAAATGCCTATCAGTAAGGTAGGTAAGTGCAGTAGTATTTCCATATTACTTATACTGAACATAACCTGCTACGAGTACATGATACATTTCATTCAGTATATTATTTGGGTTCGAGTACCATCTCAGAATTTGTGGACTTTTGAAAGTATTTTTCATTAAGAATATTTTCCAGAATAGAAAATTTATTAAATATAATAATTATTCGGTTATAAATAAAGTTGTTCTGTTTGTATAAGTAATCTAAAGAATATAAATATGCAATCCCACTATTTATTTATTTTATTCTTTTTATACCCTAGTATTAAAGGTACAATAAGTTTACTACTGTTACCTTAACTGTTTATAGAACTGAAACCGAAGCTTTACATGATTAAACAGAATTACCACAATCATTACGCATTAACGATGCCTGCTACTGAGCGTACTGACATGTGACAATTGGAGTTTTTATTATAGAGTAGTTTATATCCAGGTCTGTCTTATTTTTTTTTAAACACAGGACTGTCAACATCGTCCCTCAGTACCTTTTCAGACATAGGACGCATTCTCAAATGTAATAAATATTTAAGGACAGCGGGTTAAACGAAAACTTGGTCGCGTTCTTGTTGTTTAATTGCTGCCTCTGTGTTTCAGGGCCAAAGTGGAATTTTTTAAGCATTATTTATCAAGAACATTTTCCAGTATAGCGTTGTGAATGGGAGATTGATCAAATAATAGAGGTTAAAAAAAAGGAACCCATTTTTCTTACTTTTTTATTTTATTGAATTGAAGCAAATGAGTCAATATTGTAGGTAAGGTAACATTAAACCATGCCGCTAATTCCTGGGTAGTTTCGTCATCGTTATTCACCTGGGTGTGCGGTCTTCCTAATGGCTCGTTCTTCAAGTCGAAGTTTTCATCACGAAAGCGTTTAAACTAAAATCGCCAGTGCGTTCATTAGCAGACTCCTCTCCAAACGCAACATTGATATTGCGGGCTGATTCTCCCGCTTTACTTCCGCGTCGGAACTCGTATTGAAAAATCACTCGTTTTTTCGGAGTATCCATTTTTCTTGTCTAAGTTGAATAACAAAAACAAATGAAATTCGATATTCAAATCTTTCACATTTTTTAAAAGAAAAACATCATAGAAACCATGTGAAAAAAGGTTTTAAGACAATTCAAGGAACCTATTACAATAAAACGGCAATTTCATACTTTAACCCCTAATATAATAAATTAAGTAAATCAACTTTATATCGACTGAACTGCCTGGATATGTACGCTCAATACATTTTTGTTACAGTAATTCCTGTTAATCAAACAGAAGTGTTGACAACAAACAAAGGTGTAATAATGGATTATGTCATTTACATTATACAACGTTTGTTTGTTTATAAAAAAGCGCTCTGATATGATATAATTATATTGTTTTAAGCGAAAGATGGCACCTTCTTAGTTCATCATTTTACTAACCATTCGTGGTGGTTGATTTAATGGGAACTTTCCAATAAAAACAAAATACTCTTAGGACAGGTTTCACTAAAATGAGTCACGGAAAATTTGTCACCTTAAATATGTAGGAATAACCTAAGGTGAAAATGCATTTGACCAATAACTAGCGACCTTAGGCAATGTCTAAATGAGAAGTCAACAAACGTGTCAAGGGATAAAAGACATTTTTTTTAGCTATTGGACTAATGTGCTTAGGCGGTTTGTAAGGTTAGGCATTTCCTAATTAAACTATGCTTTGTTTTAGGTAAATGAAAATGGGTGTTAGAACATAGGTTTGTTTTACAGAAAATGTACTAAGATATAAATGACTTATCTTTACAAAAAAGTTTATTATATTTGATCGTATTTTATTACATTTACAAAGCTAATTCTTTAATTAATGTAATAGATTAAGTTAAATATTTACCCAGTCTATTACATTTCCTGTTTAATAAAATTTTAAAGTTTTTAAATTTCAATAATTTTCAATTCATACTCTAAAACACTAAAATATACTTATATATAAAAATCAAATGCTGTTCGTTTGCCTCGCTAAAACTCGCGAACGGCTGGTTGTTTTTAACTGAAATGTTAGTTAGTTAGTTTTGAAATTTTAGTAGTACTCCGTGGAAGGTTTAAACGGTGAGAAATGATACAAAGTACAGCGGGTCCTTAAATAACAGATGATTTCGTGTAACTAGATTCTGCAGATGTAACTTCATTAATTTATAATGTTAGTCTAATTAATGTAGCATTGTGTATGCAAAATTTATAAAAACAGAAAATCAATAACAGATTCAGTAATCTAAGCATTGAATGTTTAGCTATGACAATAAATAATTAAGAACTCTGTTTTTGGATGTCACAACATTCATTTAGAAAGAAATAGGCTAAGTAGCTAGTTAATATTTTAATTGACGGCAAGTATTAAAACAGGTTATGAAGGAATTGAGTTATTTATAGAAAGCAATATCATTTTACACGAAACTGATATCTATAGTGTTGCTGGAAAAAAAAATTGTTTAAACAGTTGAAATGTTTTGAAAGCGATCGTGTTGGTTAAAACAAATCCTAACGTGGTAACGTAACACTTAAGTTACATTGTATTCCCACGGATAAGGAAGTGCATTATTATTTGCAAACCGAACAAAAAATATATTTCTCATGCTCAGTCCGCTGTTACATTTGTTCATAAATAAATAGTGCAAACGACCTTGTAAAATTTACAATATACAAAGGTAGTAAAAAGCTTCCAGTTTTATCGCTTATTTGGAGTTTTTTCCAAGCAAATGACTGGGCCCGCTGGATAGGTCATGGCCCATTCTTCCAATTCAATTTGATTAGATTCCATTCATAGGGAAGGCATGCGCCCCAGCAGTGGGCGTTAATAGGCTGGTGATGATAATGATACTTGATAGTACTATGAGTGATATTTATCCACTTCCACAGATGTTCCTAGAGATACCAGTTACGTAATAAAGAAGATAACCACCTGTCCCGATGTGGGGTATTACTTTCAACGGGAGACTATACCCAATAGTCTGCAGCAGGGCGCCTGCTACCTCTGCTTCTGCCAGGATGACGGCACCGCTCTATGCTGGAAGAGAGAGAATAGAAGATGTGACGTTACTAGCTATAAGCACCATAAACTGGACAAGAGGTAATCAGAATCATGATTAAAGTTTTTGCTTATGTTGTTTCCTGGTTAGGCACTGTCATTTCATTTTAATAGAATCAAGCGTTATCTTGAGGAAATTCATTGCTGTAACTCAGAAACTATGATATCTAGAAACTTCTACGGCTAGTCAGCATCCGCAAGACCTGCTGTGCACCGCCCGCATACAAACTCACATGTACAAACGGCTACAAATTTTGCAAAATCACCACTCTACACGTGCTTTGGCTCTCCACGGAACATCCTCAGGAATTGTTAGACCTTAGTGCCAATCACTGTTATTCTATTACTACATTTTCTTCTTACTTCCTGATTTGTCTTATTTTATCTATTATTATTAATAGTGGTGAAACAGCAATATTTTATACTTATTTTTAAAGGACAATAACTATAAATATCATTGGTTAGAAGAGTATTCTCTAACTTTTATCATTGTATAATGTCGTTTATTAAAATAATACGTAGTAACTGGCAATTTGTCGTTAGCATACTTAATGTTATCCATCCGCGTAGTTTTCGTAAAAAACTTTTCCGTTTCTCAAATACGTGAAGCGGAAAAAAGAAAACTCATTCATTGAACCACAAACTTATGATAATAATACAAAAAAATAATAAACATAAAACAACCATTATTTAACAAGAAATGGAGAAGAAAATAGGTAAATAAGTGACTGTTGGAGCAATCAGGATCCTGTCTCAGAATAAGTTGCTACAAGTCCCGTAAATTACTAATACGCTGGAACCTCGTCTAAATGAAAATATACATAATATTTATGAATAATACCCAAAATATAGTCATAATAATTTAACAACTTTTAGCTTGTTAATTATTGCATGATATTAAAAAAAAAATCAATTTATATGTAAATATTGAGGTATATGGAAAAAAAAAACATTTACTTTGTAATAGCGCGATAACAAATGGAAAGGACATTTTTTTAAACTTATCCAAAAGTAATAATGAAATTAGAGAAATATATATTCATTATTAGTGAAATTATGTTAACTTATTGTGAAAAAACATAATCGCTGCTGCTATTTAGTCGCCCATATCAAGTAACAAAAAAACTTAAAGTCATAATTATAATTAAATAAACAGAATCGATATATAAATATATTTAACCAAATAAATAATTAACCATATAGGGAGACAGATTTTAGTTATTTAGATAATACGCTGTGCGAAATCCACATTAAATGTCAGCATGACATGACATGACGTTAATTTATAATTTATCGGCAGGGATGCAAGGGTTCGCCGCAGTCCACTTAGTATTAGCGATATTTTCTTCAGGGACGCAGCTAGAGATAGTAAGTTATTTTTTTAGAATTAACTCAAACGGTAATAACACTTATAGAATCACTTCACTGTCTATTTGTACAAGAAGGTGTGATGTCAAATGTATATCAGTTATGAATGTGATAAATAACGCAATCAGAGAAATTTTTTGAAAGATAGAATGAGCGATATCGTTTATTTGAGATTAATTGTAATTGTCTTGTTAGACGTAGATATTACTTTAATTTCATCATCTTCTTCAGCCCTTTTGCGTCTCCATCGCAGGTGCTTAGACCTTCCTTATGGATAGTTAAGAAGAAAGGCCATGAACCTCCACAATGGCCCATTACGGATTAGAAGGTTTTAACGACTGCAAATCAGCCGGGACCAACGGCCTAATATATCTTCCGAAGCAGAGAGCGAGATGTATAGTGATATTTCGTAGTGATTTTTTATTGCGATAGAGCGTTTGAAAATAGACCATTAGACCACAGATTTGCTATTCTATTACAAATAATGAGTTGAACACAGTTTTAAACACGGAGTTTGTTTCAGTATTACAGGTTGAACGTAATGAATACTCACACCGCATACAATAATAGTTTTATGTAACAATGATAGTTCTAATTTAAAAATTTTGAAATTGGGTAATTTTATTAAATTGTAATTTTATAATATTTGCATGCTATTTCTTGCTGATGGCTAAATGGGCTGAACTCAAATTGTATTTCAATGTACAGTGTACCTCATTTAAAAGCAAATAAATTATTATTCTTATTATTGTTAAAACTTACTTTAAAAGGTATAAAGGTTTAGTGCCTCAGCACTATTCTCTACTCTACGTTTAACGTTGTATTTTTTAGCAGAATAGCACTGTTCAAGATATTGCTATATTTATGGGTGGATATAGCATTAATATATTTTTTGATTGACTTTGAGGGAAATTTGCATTATCTTTGGGAACACAGGAAAAAACCAAGAGAAGCGATTAAAACAACAATTAAGTTTGTTACACTTAACGCAACCCTTTTTTCGAACACTTGATTGGTTTTTAAACTAGACAGTGAACTACGCAAGACTTTAAATACTGACAATTGCTACTTAGGAAACTATTATTAGTTATTTATAGTATCAAGTAAATCTGATCAATGAAAAGAGCATAACTTTTAAATTTTTTTAAAAGTCCTTTTTAAAGCAACACAGAAGAATGGTAAAATTAAATTGGTTTATTATATTTGGTCAATTATGCATTCACAAAGCTATACTGAAAAATATATTGTGAATTGAGTGAATATAATAATTAGAACAAATCTTCATCTTTATCGAAAATTTAAATATTTGTAAAAAATATTTCTTTCGGCTGTTTGGGTGGATTGCCTGAACATTGATGAGAATGCGCTCTGTAGTAGCGAAAAAGTAACAAGTACTTGAAAGATTCGTCACTCCTGGTAGGTTCTGGGTAGTTCAGTAGTTAGAGCAGTCGCCCGGATGCGAAAGGTCATGGGTTCGAATCCCATCTCAGGGTGCCAGGGACCAAGTGAATTTTTTAAGCACTTTTCATTAAGAATATTAAATTAGTTATTAAATTATAATTATTAGAATTGGAAGTTACTTCTGCGAAATTGTAGTAACTGTAAAACTAGGAAATTCATAAATTTCCACACTGTACAACTTATTATTACTGTACATGTATAGTGCTTCTTCTAGTGCTAATTATTTATGTTGCAGTATCAGGAAAAGAAACTACACAAGAATGTAAGCCCTATGAGAGTACATTCAGCGAGGACTGCCCTCCTGGTAAATAATTCGATTATTCCATTTATCAGCAAATTATTACCTTTTGTTGTGTATAGGCTTAAAGTAAATAGTTGCGATTAAATAATCTTGGGTGGTTTCATTAGTTTCAATTGTCGAACTCATTGTTTTGTCAAAGAAATAACGAAATAATTTTTTTGCGCTTCTCAAATAATTATATCAGTTTCATATGACATTATGTTTATTATATAAACGATCTTTTTACAGCCGATTGGTGTATAGGTTGTACTGTTTGCGATTGTGACACTCATGGAAATTGGAACTGTCATATACTTAGCTTCTGTCCGGACAGTAAGTATTTCAATTGTATTATTAATAAAAAATAAATATGTAATAAAGTAAGTATTTCAATTGTATTATTAATAAATATGTAATAAAATGTGCTTTGATTTGACTTCATATTTTTTTGGTTCTCGGGCTAGTTATTTCAACTATTTCAATTCTTCATATATTGCTATAAAGGAGAACTTATTAAAGATAACACCTTTTGTACTATAATTAGAACTTATTAAAGATAACAACACCTTTATTGACAGCCCGGTATATTTCTATCTCTACTTAATTTAAAAACAAATTATTATGCTATGATAATCATCATTTACACAATTCCAGAAAATAATAAAATAAAAACAACCAAAAAACCTTTACGAAAACCAAGAAAACCGCAAACGAAGAATTCTGCCCCTAAACCAACAAAAACCACTATTAAAAATACGAAATCAACTCGATCCACAAAAACTACGAGTAGACCGAATAGACCTGTAAAACGACAAACAAACAAGGTCAAAGATACAGTCAAACAAACACATAAAGCAAGTAAATATATAAAAAAGAACAACAAACCTTCATCGAAGCCGTTGATAATACGTAAAGGTAAAGAAACGAAAAAACCGATGGTTTTAAAATCAACCGATAATGGTTACAGGCTTAACGACTCAGACAGAGAGTTGATAACAAAAGAAGTATTGAAGAGTGTCGTGACGGTGATGCAGAAGATGTTGAATAACAGTCAAATGATAAATGCCCAACTACTGAAAGTATTGCCAAGCCCAAAAAGCATTCAGAAGCGATCGAATAAAAGGTGGCGTAGAAATTTTACCTATACGCAAAAGCCACCATTGCCCAAACCAAAAAATCGACGTTATAAAAATAAACAACTCAATACTAACCGAAGAGGATTTACTAAAGAAGCATTGAAAAGATCTAAGAGAGATGTAACTGTTACTGAAATTTATGGAGAGAGACAAATTTATAAAACCATAAGAGCAGGTTTGTCTCACTCAATATGTCTTTGTCCTTATATATGTATATATATAATAACATTTTGTCTTCTTGTGGCTTTATTCTGCTATTTATACAAATATATAAGTTTTAATTACTTTCATAACATAAATATATTCTTTAAATTACTGATAATATGGTGACACTAATTAAATATTTTGGTCTGCAATATTAGTAGATTAGTGCGGTAGATTAATTATTATCTGATGTTATTCTTTTTAGATAAACAAATATTATCGAATAATGGGACTTTGCTAAATGCAACTAAACATGATGATTATTTTAAATACTTTGTTGTTACTGAAAAACCTTATACTGACATAGCTGAGCAACATACATTTCGTATAATAAATGCTGAGAATTATAATAATAAGGATGAAAATTCAGTGGCAGAGGCTGTAAAAACAGAAAAAGAATTTAGTATAGTAGCAGAAAATTTGGGATACAAACCGAATATATCTTTAAGCATTGAAAATGAAATAATAGGAGAAAGATATATTCCTACCGAGCCTATTAGTTATTTAAACGAGATAAAAATTCACAATGACAATATATTTACAGCAATAGAAATAAACAAAACCAAGTTGCATACCACTGAGATGAACAGTACGAAAAATATTAATAATATTTCACAAATTCCTAAAGTAAATGATAATAAAATAACATATCATTATTATGTAACAAAAACAAAAAATGTAGAAAATAACAAAAATGTAACACCTTCAACGAGTTCTCATCTTATTAAAAATTACACGAGTAAATTTAAAAATAATCTAAAGTCGATGACTAATAAAAATTTTGTTCATAGTAAAAGTTCGGTAATAAGCCACACCGCAAAAACTTTTAAATCTCGTTTGTTTAATAAAATTAATGACATACAAAGTATATTTAGAAAGCTTTTGAATGATCTTCGTAATAAAAACAATACTAAGACTACTACACCAAAACCCACGCGACGGAAATTCAATATTATGAAATATCTGAAAAAATTTTTCAGGAAGGTGTTTCGAAGACGTAACTCTAAAAGCACGGTAGCAAATAACAGTAGTATTATTAGATCACAGCTCAAAAATCATGTTGTAGAAGCCATTTGTGAAATATTCGATAACTGTCTCATCACAAGAAAAAATAGAAAGTCACTGGAATCAAAAATAAACGAATTGTATAGTGAATCTAATAATATATTTCGATCTATTAAAATCATAAAAGGACTACTACATTTAATAGAATTTCCTAATGGTCAAATTAATGATACCGGTAAACCATACTTTAAAGACGATATTCACAAATTAAACTACATACTTAAAAATCAGTACCAAAAAAGTGAACAAGAACTAACACAAAATCAAGTCACACAAGTAAACTATATAAAAAATAATACTCATATTTTTATACAATCCGTTGGAAGATTTGCTACTCTATTAAATGAAATCATTGCAATATTAACAAACAACAAAGATGAGCAGAGGGATCGAAGAAATATCATAAACCCAAACGGTTCAAAAAATTTAGCAGTTACAAAGGGTTTAACCAAGTTAAAAAATATTTTGAAAAAATATAATCTTGTTCAGAATACGTTTATGAGAAAAATGTATGAGACATTGAATAAGTTTGGAACTGATCAAGATAAAGGTGCAATGAGTCAGGTGAGTTATAAAAATACCAAAAACGTTAACAGAACCACAACAGAAATTGAACAATTTTCAAGAAATATTATTGAAAATCTTAGGAAATTGAAAAATTTGGCGGAAATGCTGAACTCTAGAAGTAGACGAAAAAGAAATGTTATGGAAGATGATGATACTATTGAATATTTATTGACTTTAATGGAGTATATGTTAAAACAAACTTATCCTTTAGACACTGCTCCAGGTAAGTGTTTCTCATTACGTATCTCCTATTTTGTACCATTGAATGATTTAATTTGCAATAATACATTTATTTTATTTTGTTTTCAGTTAATGACGGAATTGATTTATTGATCGATGCAATTAAAAGTGCACCTGATATAAAACCTATCAAAAAGAAAGTATTACAATCTTCTTATAAAAGAATTTCTAGAACAACCGAAGAGATACCTCACATATTATCTGACGATGTTTCATCAGATTCTAGTAGAAATTCCAAAGAAGATAATATAACTTCTGTGCCAAGTGGTACTGCCGAAGAAGTAGTAGGACTAACTGTTGGACAGTACAAAGACGATCAAAATGGTCATAAAAGTATTTTTGATGAGAATACGGAATCTGTATATTATGTACGAGATTTCACTACAGATTCTACGACAAATTTAAATCAGATAGTAGGAAGTAGACCATATGTTACTGAAAATAATAGTAAAGAAGTCCAAAAAGATTCAAACCAATTTGACAAATTTGAAAATGAAAATGGTAAAAAGTTTGAAGTATATTCAGCAGATATGGATGATGACGATTCGAGTGCGGAAATCACAAGTACGACTGCTGTACCCGAGAAAGAGTTAGAAGTTAAGGCTATGACTACTGATGTTACAATTGATACTACGGAATTAGAAAAACCAATTGCTACACCAAAAATAAATGCCAAAGGAAAGAGTCGTAGTAGTGAGGGTTCGGATAAGCCAGTATCTATTGACTGGCTAGACGACAGTTATGAACAAGACATAAAAGAAAATGGTACATCTTCGAGAACAGAGGCTACAAAAATAGTATCATCTAGTCTAAAGCCTATACTACAAAAGCACGGAGATGTTGTCAGTAGCATGACGAAAGAATACAGTGATGAACATATTAAGAAAGAAAAAGCAAAGTGGACCGCTGAGAAACTAATGCGTCAGAAACAGATGGATTTGTTGAACTCCTTAGATTATGGTACAGAAAGATCTGAAGTTGAGGATGCTGACAGCAAAGATGACAAAGATGATACGTTTTCTGCTGATTATAGTTAAAAACTGGTAGATGTATTTAGTAAATAAAAAATGATTCTGATAATAAGATCACAAAAATCATAAGTAATTAGTAGTCGAGCGGTTGAGGTTATATAGGTATATACACTTGACTTTGTCAGTATTTAATTAAGTTTGAGGTGTGATTTTGTTGTTATAATTATACCTGGCAAAGTTTATCAAAAACAATATCGACGCTGGAAAGCAAACACGTAGTAACCCGCAAAACCAAAAGTATTCTTCAGAGCAGAAAATCTTTTATTTTTTTTCGATAAATAATTCCTATAAACAAATAAACAGGTGACAAATAAGATGTCCCTAAGTCAATTTATACGGAAATAAACGTTTTTTTTTTTTTTTAGAAAATATAAAGATTTTCCACTCCAAATGTCCATTTTGGTTTTGCAGGTTACTACGTATTTGCTTTCCAGCGCCGATATGTACTTCCAATCTTCCAAAAGATATTTTTAAATATTTGTCGTTACATTTCTTTTTCAAACCAAATTCCTTAATACATAAAGTTTTTTTGTTTACTATAACGATGATCATCCTCAAAGTTTTCAACACACCAGAAGCTCAACTATAAATTGAATATACTTTTAATATGACATCATTTTTGTATCAAGCTAGTGTTAAATAATATGTTAATTTAATAATTATTTATTTTCATTGTTTAGTTTCACTAGGTTATTCATGTTATTTAATATGAATTTTCATGTATTTATTTTTAAAGTCATAAAAATAGCTGTCAATTTAATTTTACAATTGATTGTTACAAAGTAAGCAAATTTTAATTGATTTTATTAAGATTAATGATTATTCGGAATATAATAAAGAATAAACTCGGAATAGAATTGGATTATTAATGTTATTTTTTTTATAAATAAATAATTGTACACTTATTTTCATATTTCATAGTCGTGATTAAACTGTTTTTTTTTTTTTCATATTAATATATTATTTAATAAGTTTATGTAAAAATAGACTTATAATATGAGAAGAAGTCCAATAGCAATTTAGTTTTTAAAGTTGTACATATTATCTTGATGTAAGTTTACCATTATTATGATTGTATAAATTATACCTATAACCGAAATAAAATTGTGTTTTTTGAAACTTTCATGGTGATTAATATTTGAATTATATTTATTTACGGGATTGCTACCATAATAAAAATATGGTTATTTTTATTAAGCTACCGATATTTCGCGTTGCAAGAGTAGATAAGCTGTTAAGAATGAAAATTGCGTCACGATGCAGCAGTATTGCAAGACAACATTTAGTGTTACAAATCGGTAGATCTAGGAAAACTACAAAAACCATTTTTTTATTTTTATTTTTAGAATTAGAACTAGTAATATGACGTTGTTAATCTATTCCTGATACAGTTTATGCAAATATTGTACAGGCTAAGCGAATAATTTTTAAACTTAACAGCTTGTCTATGGTTGCAAGTATATAGTTGAAATTGTGGTGTTAGGCTGACCGAAATTTGATTCCCTGTGGTGCTCTGCTCATAGTTAGAAATACTCTCAACTGTATAACAGAACTCTACGTATGCATTTTAAGGACAATCTACTTAATCTTTTTTTATCAAATAAAAAACCCACACTATTATGATGAATTATTGCCTAAAATGTTTTGATTGCATGTATTCGTATCGTCTGGAAGACTGCAGGGAAGTATGTACGATACCCAAACAAATTTACACTTTATGCCTTTAGTAGTAAATGTAGTATTCGAATATTAACTTACATTTTCTGGTCTTGGTTTGCGATAAGACGACGATGAGCGTCAGAGCGTAACGTCTGAGTTGCGACACGTGACAACTTTGTAGTAATTTCTGGTAATTGACTTAGTTTATTTTTTATATGTATGATTATTTACGCCAAATCCGACGAAACATTGAAGCTAACGAAGTTTGATTTAATTCGTAGTAGCTTCCTTCTCGCAACTTCGCCCGCGTTCATTATATCTTATATCACGTAGCTCCCCATCGGTGAAAGAATTTTCATGATCAGTTCAGTTAGATCACCTATATAGAAACAAACAATTACCTACATAGAAACAAACAAATTTAGAAAATTTATCTCTTTATAATATTAGTACAGACGTAGTAAGGAGGGTTTAAATGTCATCATCATCATCACTATCACCAGCCTATCATTGTGCTCACTGCTGAAGCTCAGGCTTTCACTATGAATGGAATCGAATAGAGGAAATTAGGCCATGACCAAGTGGGTTCAGTATGGATTGGTTGGTATTTACGACTGCTAGACGTGCCTTCCGAAGTACGGAGGAGCTGGAGAATTAAATTTTGATCACCTATCTTTTAACTGGCCATTGCAAAGTTGCTTAACAACCGTATCGCAAACCGAACGCGCTGACCACTGCGCTATCGAGCTTCGAGTTAAATTTAATAAGTATATTTTCGATCCCTCATTCGGATTTTAGCTTTTGATTTCATCCCATCCTAAAAGTGGGCCATGGAGTCCCTCTAGCATAGGGTTTAAAGTCACAAAGTAAAATATTCCGATTTCACAACTGTTGCCATTATAGAGATGTTTCCCAATCCAATAACCAATTAAAGAATTCTCGGAGGTTTGGGTGTGTAGAAATAACTGAGACGCCATAATGTAGTCGTAGGCCTTGTCTCGATTCTGTAATTTGGCGTAATGATACTAATGAGACAATTACATCGATTTTCATTCAGCTAATAAACACTTTGTGTTATGGATCAAGTGATAATTAGGCCATTATCCGTAATGTCCGGGTATAATGAATAAACACAAGCTATTTAGGGAAAATTAGATAATTAGGTTTTGAACTTCCTTATTTCTCATATTGCCCGGACATTATGAATGTGGTGTTCGGGCAATCTGATAAAAATACTTATGTATTACCCATGTAATACATAAGTTTTTTTATCAGATATCATATCCCATGATAGGCAAGGCGCGGCGAAGAGAACAAACAGGGAAGGACAGTAATTGATCTTGATCGCTACGCTTCGCCATCGTGATAAAGTATCTATCACGAGACCTACAGGAATAAACGGAACGGAACGAGTTTTATTTTGTTAACAGCTTATTAATACCAGTAGCCTGAAAAATTGTGCAAAGCTATATATAGCTTATACTTATATTTTGATGATTTTCTACATCTACAATATTTTTTAAAAGAAAATTTTCATTAATTAATGGTTAAGTATGAAAAAGTAGCTTTCGAACACAAACTAGATGTGTAAACATTTTAAAAGTGCTTAATTTTAAAAGCGACGAATGAAATTATTCCTACAAAAAGAAAATAGATAAATACATATTCTATTACTGGAAATTACTTACTTGTTCTTATTAAGAAAAAAATTAAAGCTTCCGGATAGTTTTGCATAACAAGTTGTTAACCTGATACCATTACCGCACTGAAATGACCTTCGAGGCGTTCAAAATGCAGTCGAAATAATAAAGGTAGTACGAATTTAATAAGGTTAGTTTGCCCCGCCAATAACAGCAACGGCACCTTTCGCGCCTGCGCGAGTTCAACATTTCCTCACGTTTTGGCGCGAAAGCCGCTCGCGACGACGACCGGTATATCCGAACGTGTTTTATTTTTAAACGTCTTAAAAAGTTTACTAACCTAAAAGATTGTTAGATTCTGTTTTTAAATTTTACTTTAGTATCGATTAATATTTTGTTTTTACAAGTGACATGTGTTTGTTTGTTAAATAATACAGTGGTTTATGGGAATTACTGTTTTTTTTTTCTGGTAAGTATTGTTCTTAACTTTTTGAAAATTAGTTGCAAAACAGAATTAAACTATTTATAACTATTGTCAATACATTTTGAGCTTATAAAAATACGGAATTCATATTGTTAGATTATCTTGTTACTTATATGTATTTGTTACTTAAAACTCATTTAACTTTGACAATCACCTGCCTGCATACTAGTACTTATATGCATCATTATCATACTAATAACCTAACACCGGACACAGGCCTTCCTTGTGGATAAAATAAACTAGTAATTTTAAAATCTATCAGTTTTCAAAGGTATTTAGCTATATTAATCTATTTAAATATTGTATTTGATTTATGGAATTATATAACCGCTTTCGAAACGAATGATGATTTTAATGAAAAATATTATAGGGAATAATTTCGTTTGACATTTCCCAATAGCTTTCAAAAATATTTGTAACTATCACTTTTCTTAGACAATTACGATTGAACGTCAAATAAACGTTATCATTCATTCAATACCCTTAATCAATTAGTTAACAACTTTAATTCATATTTCAATAATATTGACATACTAGTAAGTAACCCTAGTAATTTCAAAAGACAAGTACTGGATACCTTGCCCAATTGATTTGTTATGTTTTGTGCCTTTATAAGGTCTTGTCAATTTTACTGCTAAATAGTGAAATTTTTAATTATACTGTGCTATGGATTTGAGAAAACTTGTTATGCGGCCGCTTTTAGGCTGGTTATGTTTCGATCATGATGTGGTGAACGGTGTTGGTGTGCAATTATATCTGATCTGTTTTGACTTTGTAAGTTTAATGTAAATTGTATTACTGTTTGTTTACCCGTGAAAAAAAAATAGCGTGAAGTTCGTAAATATCTTTCAAATGTCAAATTCAAAGTGATTGTGATAGATTTTAAAATTGGACAATTAGGCCACTCATCGTGAAAAAGCTCTCATTTAAGGGAAGCTACATAATACGCGGGTAACATACACTTACAGGCAGTTGCATTAACCTCAATTAAAATGGTCATTAGTTTAATGCCACTTTATCTATACAAATTTTAGAAGAACATGCATTAGAGCTTATAATCTTCATTAAACTTTAATAGACTATCAGTCAGTTGCACAAATTGACTTTACCCATACAAATTTGACATTCATTAAAGGCGTCATTATACCTTAATGGACGTTTGTGCCACTGAAGTTTTGTGCAACGGATCGTAAGTTATGCAAACGTGCATTAAAATTTGTCATTACCCATACAAATTTTGTAACTTCGAATATACATTAGAACTTAAAGTCGTCATTAACTATTAATGGACGTTTGTGCAAGACTATGATAGAATATATCTATGGAGGCGAAGTAAGTCGCAAGAAAACAACCAATAGCTTATGAATTATATAGTAAAATTTAAAAAACTATTTTAACTAGGTAAATTTTTTTGTTAAGAATCAAACAGAATTCAGGATCTCAACCTTGAAACAAGAAACGTATCTATACAGCTACTCGGTCACGGATGTCATCAAATACATACTAAAAAACTAAATTATTAATAATATATGTACTTAATTAAGTTTGTAATATATGTGACATTGGCAATACGTGTTCAGAGCTCTATCACCCTGAGGTGTGTATTTAATTTTTTAAAACGCCTTGGCATTTGCAAGACTAATGAATGCTCTACAATATTGCTAGCTTTAAATCAGTGTTTTACACAAACTCCATGACTTATGGCTGGTTTACACGGTATTAAGTAGTAAATAAATAGATTCTAATTTTAAATTCAATTAAGCTCATAAGTAGTTACCTAATTTTTGATATCTTACTTATTTATCTTTTTACATGTACTTAATCACTTAAAATTAATTTAAAAATCTACTTACTACTTAACTATGTGTAAACTAGCCCTTAAATCTATACCTGAGAAAAAAGGATTCAATATTTATTTTTCATATTTTTCGTTTACGAGAGAACAGCTGTTTTTTGATGTTAGAGAATACAGTTTCGTTCATATAAATACTGAATATGAAACGTTTTTGTATAGAGGGTCGCCCATATTAATTTTTAATATGTCGTTTATTATATAATTGAACTTATATAATTAGTATAAGCGTATTTATAACAACCTTTACATGAGATCAGTAGTCCTACATTAAGTAATATCTGTATACCGTGGCACAATTCACAATAAACCCAATAATAAGCTGTATTAAGTGAGGTTTGGGTTACATAAGTTACGAAGTGATACAGTCTCAAATGTGTTTCGTAAAATATGTAACGTGACCCTAGTTGGGACTATGTTAGGTGCAACTAAATCCGTCTTATTAAAAAACCTAGGGCTGACTTTAGTACCAAACAATTATCCGACCAAAATAAGTGACACCTCTCAATTTGACGTTTTTTCTTTTGTCATTGTCAATATTTGCTTAAGTCAATATTGTCAATATAGGCTTGTAATTTAATTAAAATGCTAACTTTATTCCCCTTAATAAGTTTAAACTTAAATGAGTTTTATAATGTTATTTTTCATCTATTCGATTAGTAAAGAAACACTAGTTCTATAAATTGCAATTGTAATCTTGAAATATCTTGAATATTTCTGTTTCTAATAAAAAATCTTCTGAAACAGTTCTTTGAAAATTTCAAGTTTTCATACAAAAGAGTGTTACATTTTAACATGCTGAGAAAAAAAAAGAAGTATGTATTTGTTCAGAGACTTGATGAGTAAAAGTATGATGCAGCGATTTTGACCTAAACCAAAAAGTTCCATTATTGTTTTGGAAAACTATTAAAAATATAAAGTGTTTAGTGTTTGTTATTGAAACCTTATTTAGCCTTTTGAAGGTTTTATTTGATTATACCTCTATTGTATGTCAGCGCTGTGATGGAGATATGTTTATAACAGAATAGCAAAAAAAAAAGAAACAGATTAGCACTGTAGTAGTTTCAGCTATGCATTCAATATATCTGTCAATCAGTCACTTAGTTCTTTAGAGGAAAAAAATTTACTCAGTACCCAAAATTCAATATTAACGCCTTTTATTTCGTTTTGTAATCTGCTATAGATACAGCCATCCAAGAAGACGCGCCACACTCGTCTGTCAAGCCGTTTATAGTTTTGACCATAAGGCTCTCCCTTAATTTTAATTAGTGTATTTATTGTAGTGTACGTGTGCACTCAAGCACACTACAATAGTTAATATGTACCGATAAAACTCAAATATTAACGAATCTTTCATAACGTGGATGATGCTATCTGTAACATAGTAGATTAAAAATAAAAAAAATTCTATAGTCCCGTCTAATTATGATGTAATCACACTTTGTTTACTTCTATTATAATAAACTAGTGGACGCCCGCGACTTCGTCCGCGTGGAAGTCGGTATCCCGTGGGAGTGAGAAGTTTTCCCAGTAAAAAGTACCCTATGTGTTATTCTGATGTATAACCTATATTGCTGTAAAGTTTTATCCAAATCCGTCCAGTAGTTTTTTCGTGAAAGAGTAACAAACATCCATACATCCATACTTACAAACTTTCGCCTTTATAATATTAATAGGATAGGATATAAAGAGGTTAATAAATATAATACTTAAATTGTCAATTTTATTATAAGAGGTGTATTCAAAAAATAAGGTGAATTTTTAAATTTCACTGGCTACGTATGTTCAACTTTTTATTATTAATATTTTTTTATGTTGGTACTCTCATCTCGAACATATCGTTTCGTACACAATATAACATATAACGTGTAAATTTCCAATAAAGAATATTTTATTATTTATTATTATTGTTATTTGCAAGAGTCCGGCGATTTTCTGCTATGAAAAAAAATGGATCAAAGAAGTTGCATCAAATGCTTACAGTGGCATCCAGTGAGAATACTCTGTATCAAAAAACGTTTACAAATAGCTCATGCAACGGCTTTTTTGGTCAGAATTCAGCAATTTTGGAACGAACCTCGCTGCCAAATGTTTCAAACCCAAAATTACCGAAAAAAATTGCATGGCATGAGCCAACCAATATGCCGACATCCTCAGCAACTTATCTAATTGTGATTCGGCGTTTCTCCATAACAATTTTCTTGACTTTCTCTACATTTTCATCGGTTGTTTAAGTGCTAGAATTACCAGGGCGAGCGTCGTCATTCATATCTTCTCGACCTTCTGTGAAAAGCTTGTACCACTTTTAAACATTTTTTTGAGTCAGAGTATTGTCACCGATTGTCACTGTCAACATTAAATGTATTTTAGTACTTAATTTTATTTTTTAAACAAATTTACGTAACTTCATTGATATATATTTTTTCGATAGCAGAAAATCGCCGAGCCGGAAAAGAGCAGAAAAGACGTCAAACCTTTTTATCTGTCAAAAACAAACTAGGTATGCTATGTACTTGAAACTGTAAACATACGGAATAATGTATACCAACACAACAACTATTAAAATTCGATATTCGAATGTACCTTGCCCGCGAAATTTGAAGTCACCTTACTTTTTGAACACATCCCGTATAAATATGACATTTAAAAAGATATTCTTCAATGATATGTTCTATCAAAGATTCTAATCTAAACCATAGGAATATTAATCAAATATAGCATACGTCGCTTGTTTTATATAAGTTGAAGAATTTAAATCCTCAGTTTTTAAGTTGTTTTATTACAAACAAGCTTTCGCCAGAGGCTTCGCCCGCGTCCCTAGGGAAATGTTTAGAGGGATAAAAAGTATCCTATTATCTAAGTCAGCTAATACCCTATCTGTATACCAAATTTCATCAAATCCAAGGACATAAAAAAATGTCTTTATAATTATCATTATCATCACCAGCCTATTAACGTTTCCACTGCTGGAGTTCATGCCTTCCCTATGAAAGGAATCAAATCAAATCGAATTGGGAGTTTGGGCCATGACCATGGGTATTAACTACTGCAGATGCAGCAGAACTAACGGATTAACGTGCCTTCCAAAACACGGAGCAGAGCCGGGTAAAAAATTTTTGGTCACCCATCCTATAACGGGCCATTGCAAAAGTTGCCTAACAAGCGTATCGCAGATCGACCACTTCCCCGTCGAGCTCTTATAATATCGAGTCTTTATCATATTATTTGTGATATCTTGAGAAAATATTTCATATAAGTAAGTTGAATGAATCATGCTTTGATAAATGTAGATGCAATTTAACCTATGTGTACGTATTAATTTCGTATTGATTAATTTCATCAGACTATAAAAATTTAAATGGCAATCTAAAATAATAGTTGTTGAGACTCTAAGTTTATTTTACAACAAAGTCAATAGTTTCAAAGAACACGCTTAATGTCAAGGTGAGTGTGGCAATGATTAGCAAAAATAGTTGAGAAATGTTTATACTGTATTCAATAAGTTGACTTCTATTTATAATACTTTGTATTTTTATTTTATTAGCTCCTTTTATGGTTGAAGAGCTTTGGCTCTATCTTATAGCTTTATCTTTTTTGAATGATTTGTCGGTAATATCCTTTGTTACATCAAGTTTGATTTGTAATTCGGTGATTCTCCATAACATGTTTCCATTTCTCAAATTTTAATTTAAAGCTTGTTTTTTGTAACAGTTGTTGTCTGGCTTTCTGTTTTTACCATACTATTTTGTTTTGCTCCGTAGCTAAGACTAAATTCATAAATACAATGCAATTATACTTCATTTCCACTTGAAAATGTTAAAAGAACGGAATTTTATAAAAAATTGCCATGTTTAAGAACTCGTTTAAATGTTGTTTTATTAAATTAGCGGTGACATCTGATAATCATTAATTTATTGCAGTCATTATGATATTATCATGTTACGGTGAACTTGCGTGTTTGTTTGGGAACACGGTAGAGAAAAGAACCATTTTTTTTTACATGTTTTCTCGTGTTAAAACTTAGTTTGTACAAAAAGTGAATGTTGCTTTCCTCACACCTTCAGGAAGGACAAAACAAAACCAGTATCATTGCCATCCTACCCAAACAGGGGTATTACAAATGCTCACAAACAGCTGGTAAAGGTTTATTGATTTCTTTCGCTTTTAAATAAATTTTGAAGTAAAAATGATTGAAGTATAAAAATATGATAAGTAAAATACAGGTGTCATAAGTACAACTTCTTTTAGCATATACTATTCTACTTATTCTTTTCGTGTAGAAAAGAAGTGGTCCTCGTATTGAACCCTGTGGTACACGAAGTGAATTTTAAATACCAATATTTACCACGTGTTGCATTTTGCTTATGTGAGGCTTCAAATAGCATGTGCTATTTGTTTGCCAAAACAAAGTGGGTGTCAAATCTTTGGATAAATATGGCATATATACCTATGTTGAGCGGGCTTAGTATGCTTACTTCAATAATGGTGAAGTAGTTATCTATCTAAGTGGTGATCTTGAATGCAAATGTTGCAATAGGCCCTACTTAGCAAGAAATAGCGTTTCCATGTACCAGTACGTACAGGCAATTGCTGTCTAAGATAATGTAATACAAATGATTCCATGGTGTACCTACCAATTTTTTAGGTATGTTAATTATAGATAGTATGAGACGAACACTTAACCTGAAAATATCGTTCAAGTATTTTGAAGATAATCGTTGAAATAGCAAAATTTAAAATAATATTACTAGTTTGAAAATGGACAAAATACAGTGAAATTACACTATTTTATCTCTGAAATTATTGAAATCTGAGAAGAATAATGTGCGGAGGACATACCGATCATATCTATTACATAAATTAATTTCAATTTGCTTAATTTGTGTATGCCTGTTATAGATTAAGTTGAATATAAATTGTTGTATTTTTATACAAAGTTATATAACTTTAACTATAAATATGTGTGATTTAACATAATTTTTTGTAACTCGAAGTTCCCATGAAAACGTATCAGAATCAAAGTGTGATTGAATTTTACCAGTATAGAGTTACTTTCATAGTCCAGTATGCAATATAATGTATCAAATGAATGTCTGTGGTTACTTGATCTTTGCTTATTAATACATGTGCATAGACGTAGTGAATGGCATTTAAAGCATTACCAACAGTTTAATATTTCTTTAGTTATGCAACTAGATTTAGAAGTCAGTTCCGTATACAATATGTTATTGGCAAATGTTTTTCTTATTGCGTTTTGCGTTATTTTATGTCCTTTTGTGTGGATACAATACCAGTTGGATAGCGCAGGTATCTCCGTATTTTAGGTTCGATACTCGACCGGCGTATCAAACCTACTTATATATTTATTAATGATACTATCCCAATAGAAAACCTAAATCTTTGATTTTTTGGCTTTTGCTAACTATGAAAATTATGAATCTAACTATTGTAGACTCAATGGGACATTAATAAGCTATAATTATGATTATTAGTACAAAGAAGGATGATTTGTTTGGATGTTTACATTGAATAGGTCCTGAAACTAAGTGACGAATATTAAAAATTCCTTCATCTGCGAAAGCCTTTAACATTGCAATGACTGAAGATAAACATTTGTATTATTAATTAAATGAGCCCAGCCCAAAGTAACACAATTAATATTTTCAAACTACTAAAATAGATTTTATATGATAAATTAAATAATTATAACTCCGACAAGTGATCGTTTAATTGATAGCTTCTATTTATAACATCATTAATTCATCAGAAACTATGTGAATATCCGTGACGTAATTACGTAATGTAAAAGTTGATTTGTTATGTATAAAAACAACTTTATCACTTGCTCTCCGTGTAGAATCACTGAGGTCCAGATATGCGGCTGAGTCCATATAGAAAATGACTTTTGACTACATTATAAAATGTTTAAACTGCACAACTGTATCAGGTACGGGTGGTTGTGCTACCTTTGTTACTTTTTTATTTCATGCTTCATTACAATCCTAATAAAAATTACAATTATTTGCTCAAATTATCTTACAATTCATGCTACAGTGATTAAGTTTATCAAGCGATACGGTTGCTATACACAATACCTCTAGTAATTTTACTATTTGATATTACGAGTATCATTTATAGCACAATATTGGTCTTAAACAGGCTATAACTTAATTATATTACAGTTCTAACTTATCTTTATTATTTTTCTACCTCTTTTTATAAGAAGAGTACTTTTAGCAGTATCCATATTACCTTCATTTCTATCATAATTTGTCCTTATTGGAGAAGGTGTTTTTATACTGGTTGTATCTTTTTTTCCGGGTTCGCACTCGCCGCAATCTGAGGTGTCTAATATGTGAAGGTAGGCTCTAAAACACCTAAGCCTTGGATGGTCAAGTTGCAGATCGAACAGCCTCAATTGAAACAGATTTTTTGTGGTTGGTACATATATTTCGACCACAGTTTAGTTTTACCCTGATGTGGGCGCCAGAAGAACTTGTACATGTATTTTATAATTATAGGTTATATAATTTTAGGAAAATATCTGGCTTATATATATATATAAAAAATGAATCCTTATTTCCCTTGGTCATACCATTACATGTGAACGGCTAGATCGATTTCGCTGATTCTTTTTTTGTTGTGTTTTTTACTATCAAGGGAAGGTTTTTATGAAAGAAAAAAACGAAGAAAATCGTGTTGAAAATTTAAGAATATTTAACCATCAAAATTATTTCTAATCTAACCTTAGTGCTTTGGATAATATAAACTTTTTTAATGTATCGTAACATTATGAAGTTTGACATAGAATTGACAGAACGCGTGTTTGCAAATATTAAAATTGATTAACTATTGTCAGGGCAACGTCTGTCGGGTCAGCTAGTGATAGATGCAAATTTTAGATAGAATCAACAACGTTTTATTTATTAGACACGTCATACCCGTACATTATTAGGTTTTAAAACGGCATAAACTTTATTGTTGTAGTATTACATTATAATACAACCACAAAGGGTGCGAAGAAATCAAAAATAGTTATCTACCTATTAGAATCATATATGGTATGCTGTACCTCTTGTTAGAACGAGATAAACTTTACGTGTCAATTCCAATATCCTCTAGTCATAGAACACGATGCACAAAGAAATAGCCGCGTTCAGTGACGTTTATTATTTTATGAAAATAATATACTTACTCATGAAATAATATCTTTTTTGCTTTTCTCATTGTTAATGTGTAATTTGTGCATTGTATAAACACGCGGGAAGGCATTTTTTCAACAACTTTTCACAGAAAATTACGAGTGAAAATGATATTAGCCACAACTCTTGCTAAAACGTGATTAAAGTGAAACTCAGGCTTGCCTTGCTTTCTTGTTATCAATTTTGAGCGCAGATAACCCATCTAAACTTTTTAATACATCATTGGATAGAGTATGTTTTACAATATTGATGTTCATTTGAAAACCTGTATGATTGTAACTGTTACTATTAAACCATATTGGACATTTAATGTTTTTGTTTTGTAAATTAAGTATTGTTTACCGAGTGAGTGTGCTAACCGGTTTGTCCTTGACCGGCACATTGCCTCACAGCAGTTATACTTTTTCGTAAACGCTCAAAAATGTTAAAAACTACTTTATGAGTTCGATGAAGAAATTGTTACTAGTCAAATGACCGATAAAAACACTTCAATCAATCTTAAGTTCGCGTGAAACGATCTCTTGATTTATCATTCCGGCAGATATTGTGGATTTTGTACATTAATATTTATGGGGCAAAGAAGTAAAGTGGACCAAGGCATTGACTAGTATAGGAACACGATAGGGAAGGCCAAGCTAGAGATGGGAGATGATTTCCCAAAGAGCTGAAGGAGTTCAAAATCGAGAGGAGTGGCGTACCATGAAGGTGGCATATGACGGGGGACAGTCTGACCTGTACATGACTGCTGCTGATTCACAATAATAGACACTAAAACTGAAAGGTAATATGAGTGAATTAAGGACCTGATACTAAAGACTACTTTTTGGGACGAATAGATTTTTCGTATTGTTTGTAATAATTAAAAAACTATTGGACAGATTTTAAAATTTTTTGAGCAATATAAAGCTATGTTATCAACTACATAGTAATAAAAAATATGCGGGTAAATCATCAGGTCATTACCGAATCTTAATCTTAACGGACGAACGGAAAATAATACATTTTCGGTCATCCATCAAATGGCTGGCCATTAAGATAGTTGCTTATTGCAATCTTAGACTGGACACGTTAATCATCCCGAAATCCTCCTAAAGACATAGCTAATTATACTGAATTGAACGCCAATGAAATAGTGTAAGTGTTACTGCCTTCCGATGTGGTGTTTCACAAGCATTAGTAATTATTCAATAAACAGCTGCATCTTGTAATGTCCGACACGGTTCATAGGTTCAGTATGTTCTAGAATGTTATTTGCAACCATTACTGGTGTTGTGTCAGAAACGGTAAGGATATATTACATACTAGAATCCTACTATTTCTAAATTTTACCACTTAATATGATTAAATGATTATGTGATTTCTTAATTATCATCGGCACTTTTACGTCCCCATTGCAGGGGCTCAATCCTTTCTTATGGATGGTTAAGGAGGATGGGCCATCACCATTCCTTCTAGCCCAATGCGGATTGGAGGGTATTAATGACTGGCAATGCAGCCGGGACCAACGGTTTAACATGCCTTCCGAAGCACGGAGTAGCTTGATATAATAATTTTAAGGTCACCCATCCCGTTACTGACCCTTGCGAAAGTTGCTTAACAATAACGATCGCGAGCCGCGGCGCTTGGATATCACCGTGATACTCTAGACTTTTTAATATTACTATTTAATTTAAAAAATGTGGCTTCGTATATTCTGGGAAAATATTCCATCAGTTTCATCACATACACTACAGAATCATTGTAGTCTCTGCATTTGTTTTGTTATGATAAATCAACACGATATCTCACAATCTCGAGCTCAATGCAATGTTATGATTTTTGTTAGCGAGATACGAATCTTTTCGTTATTATTAAATGTTTGCTCAATGTGACCGTGACTCGGTTGCTTACTTGAGTTGACTGGTTACGTTACACTCGAAAAGTTACGATGCAGTGAAAAAAAAATGTCTCTAATCTTAACAATAGTACTACTAAAAAAACTTTTAAAGACTAGTAATTCCACATGTTTTAAATTGAACAATAATTCTGGATTTATCATCATAAGTCTACTAAATTTAAAGTCCTCATTGCTGGGGTCTTCCCTGATCAAGTAGGGTGAATAAGCCAAGAATAATGTTAAAGATTGCAGACGCAATTGGGAGTAATGGCTTAATATATCTTCCGAAGCAGAGAGCTGCGCATATCAATTGGACTACTCAGTGATCAAATTACGTAACGTAAATAATACTTTGTCAACAATTCAAGGACAAAATTTATAAAGAAACGAAACAAATTATTAAGAAACGAAATTCTGTAAACAAAGAAGATAACAGAAGTACATAGACTTATTATATTGTATACAGGAACACATTATAATTTATGATTATATGTGACCATGAAATAACGTTAAAAATCACCCAAATATTTTTTATTAGTTAAGAAATTAGTATAACAGAGTTGGGGTACCATTTGTCGCAATGTATCGCGTATCTTAAGCTATGTCACTAGGCCAAAGACCGTGAAATTTATTTATATATGGTTACGAAATATTGAAGAAGCAAGAAACTGGTATTAGGAAGGTCACACATTCAACATAATTAAGGGAAGCCGGAATAGTGTTAATTAAAAAAACATAATAGTTACTAGCTAAGTCTCGCTATTTTGATCGCGAACGCGACTTTGAACTTCAGAATTACAAATTTCCAGCAGGTATTTCAATATTAGCTTATTATTTTTCAACAATCATAGCATTTTTGTTAAGGGGCTTGATCATATTTCTATTGATCTTGTGGTTGTACCCGAAACACAATTGTATTAACTTCACTCGGTAGAAAATAATTCCAAAATAGCATCACAAATTATTAAAAGTAATGAAATAGACAAAATAATAGCCAATTATTTTGTCGACCCAAAAGAAAAAAACATGCTTGTCCTTTCTAAGTGCCATAAAAATCTGGAATAAAAAGAAATTATTCCTTTCGTGTAAAAAAATTCAGCGCCACCTATCATATACGAACTCTAGACAGCTGACTCAAAGCACTTAATTGTTATAAAACATTATTGTTATTAGTACCAATTTTATCTGCTGGCGCTGAACCGATAGGCATTTGTTATTCTTCTGAGGAACGTGCAATGAGCTAACCCATACCTGTAATTACGTAAGGGGCGTGTCTATTTCTTAGTCTTTCGGCCTCCTCAGCCCCTTAAATAGCCCAAGCTCAGCTAAGATTGGATTATGATCATCCGTGTAGTCCATTGCTGGAAATTGGCCTTTTCAATACGCTTAATTTTGCACTGTTTTTCTTCTTTCGTTTTGTGTTGTCCAAATTCAGCCTGTCGTCTTCCTTGAATTGTTTCCCCACTCAACTTGAGAGCGTCATACACTTCGCTTGCTTTTGCAGACTCCTCTAGAATTCGTTTGTCCGAGGTATTATTAGTTTGTCGACAATTAACGCCAGCGCACTGCTACTTCGGCTTGTTAATCTTGTTTATTATGTCGCCTTTGATTCTCTGTTGGAAGTTCGTTGAAAATTTTATCCTTCAGAGAAATTCAAAAAACGTCCAATACTTCGTTAAACAAATTTTAACTATTCCTGTTAAATGTTTAGGGAATATTTCGAACCCGAAATCAGTTGGTATGTCTTCTTTATCATATTAGTATTTTACTTATCTATCTCATACATTAATATGAAGTCACTATAAAATTATGTAAGATATTGTTATTTTCTATTTTATTTTGCATTATAAATAAACTGTTACTAGGTAACGTTAGATAGCACATTGATACAATTCTTGTTTCATTATTGATTTAGTTTTGTTGCATAAGAACTTTCTACTCTGATCGGTTTCGTGCCATTATAACGAAAAAATTATCAAGTTCGAATTTCATATTGAGCACAAATTTCAAAATTTTGTATTGACATTTGCAGATCCTAGATCATAAAATGATGTAAAATTTAAAATGAAATAAATTACACAACTTTCAAAAGTCTTTATTGAGTTATTATAAAATAAATAGTCCTCTCTCTACTCAGTCTCAATATAATGACGGTAGTAATTATAAACACTTTATTATCAAGGAAGTATTTACATTGTACCACAGGGTACTTACCTAGGCACCGTGGTTCCGTCTACAATTAAACTAAACGAAGGGATGTTCGCAACACCCGCTGTCTGTGGCGTAACTTATTTTTGCTAATTAAAAGCAACGGATATAGTTATTAAAATTGGAAGTTATTTTGTAATGCTTACTCAAATTATTTAAACACAGAAATTATTATGAAAAATGGTTCTACTAATTGATGAAACGTAACTTTATTAAACTACCGTAAATATACAGTGTAATAAGTGATTTCTTTGGCGTCGACTTAAGGTTGGTTTTGACTTTAGATACTATTTTTATTGATCGTAACGCATAGCCACCCGAAGTTTATATTTTAAGTGAAATTAATTTCAGGTACTTACAATCTTACGATGTAACTCTATTAAGGAAAGAAGTCCCGCGGCTTAACTCTTATTCCATTGTAATAAAAGACATTGTAATCTGAGGGAGTTCTTTGATGAGACGAACTTAATATTGAAAATTGATTTTGAGAATTCTTCGAGTCTTCTACTGCCACATTACACTCAATATCACATTACCTAAGCAATTTTTTAAATTTAGAACATTCATCAAAGCTTAAAGTCGTCGTTAATCCTTAATGGACGTGTGTTAAACTGGATTTATGTGTGGTTTTGTTCGTTTTTTGACAAAGTGAATATGCAAATATTTACTCTCTTTTTAAATAGTTTGTCTACTTATTAATGATTTGTTTTGTTCTAAATATAATCATTACATCACTATTAATTTGTTTTTAGCATAAGTAAATAATTGCTCTTTCATAATAGATTATTATCGAGGAATCTTTTTCATGAATGACGTAACACATAAGTCTAAGTTATATACTCGTGATTTGGTTTCTATTTTAGTGTATATTAATACAATTTTTTTCTTTGTTACAGATGGATGCATTACAATGTACCACCGAGTGAGACGAAAGATGAGAATAAGTATTTGTGCCATATTATTATTATTTCATAATTCATTAGCTTTCCCTAAATCATCGGAGACAACTGAATCAATACCTATCACAGAATCCAGAGATGATAATTTTGAAAATAACATTATAGATTTCGACGAAGAATATTCTATTAAATTTAACAAAAAATATGGAACAGTACCTTGGCATTCAAACGATGAACTCACAAGAGAAAACTTTAGATATTCAATTTTAAAAGACAATTTAAATGTTAATAATAAATTAGAGAATACCAGTAAATATAATATTACTAAAACTATAAATAAAACGGCTGATACAGAAGCTACCAGTGAATCCACGCAAGAACCAGACTTCAGTGTTATTCCATTGGAATTGGTGAGCACGACACAAAATTATTTAGTTAGCATAGTTGATAGTACAACAGAGGAAGATTTATCAGTGATACCACTTTCAACAACAGTCAAAGATTTACCAAACTTATATATAAGTGAAACTGTAACCTTACCCACATCAACACAAGAATCCGAAACCACTACTATTAATGTTGGAACTCCATCTAAAAATAGTGCAGAAACAACAACGGTCACAGTACAAAAAATAGAAACAAAGTTATTAACATCAAATGAAAATGTTACAAAGACTAAGGATTTGGACGACTTGAAAGTAACCACCGAAGAATTAATAATAAATACAACAGAGAAAGATATCATTACAAATAATGAAAGCACTTCTACAGAAACATCAATCGTTGCAATAAATACAACTGTCATTAACAATCGTACAATTATAGCTGAAATACTTAGAACAAATTCTAGTAAACAAATCGAAAACAGAACGATATTAGAAGTAGATAGTGACGAAGAGACTGATATTCCCGTATTTACTGAGTTTGATGGAGAGAGCGAGGAGGTCCCTGAAGATTATTACGACTCTAAAGATGTTGTACCCACAACAACACCGAAGGCTAATAATGCTTTGACTGTACTCGTAGGCTTAGCTGGTAGCGTCGTAGAAAGTGTGGCTGAGAGAGTTGTACCGAAAGGTATATATGATCTTTTCAAAAGAATGCAGAGACAAAGCGAGGCTTTGGAATCAGAAAAACTCAGAAGTAGGGAGGAAAATGGAGGATTAGGTATGGCTTACTAGTATTTATTTATTTATTGAGAAAACCAACAGCGTTACATAAATAATATTTTACATAAAAAACTTAACAATAAGTATGGCCAATAATAGGTTTCCCTTATCATTTCACTATGATACTGAGTTTATTGGTGTTATAACATTTATGAAAAAAAAAACACTAATTAAATAAAGTTAATAAAGTTTACATACTATTGAAATACAGTGCTGACCAAAGTGATCTACTGATTTCATTTGCTCACCATTGCCAACTATACAGCTGACCTCGTATTTAAATCTGCGTTTGTTTTTTTGTAAAAATATTATTTTTTCTAAAATATGTGTTATATGTACGCCCGATTCGTGATAGAACAGAATTTTATAAATTAAGTGTGTCTGTGACAACGTTAATAAAATCTTGAACATTATATTTTTAGCAATGCATTTATCTAACGTAACCTTTATTTTGAAAACTTGATTAAATGTAGATTTTAATTTTTGAGATATTGAGTAGTTACGCATTTCGACAAATAAACCTATTTAAAAAACCTAAAAAAAATTGATAAAAATATTAAAATCACCAAATAAAAATACAAACACCATCTTGTGATCACCGTAAAAAAATCGTCAACTTTACGCACCACCTTAAAGCAGGTTGTGGGGTTTATGTTAATTTGAGCCTTATGAAATTATTTATTGAGGTATATTTAAATGAGATATATTATGAATTTCTGTATTGCCTTATTATTAATTTCGTTTGCGAATGCAGTTGTTAGGTAACATTGCAGTTTTTAATGAATTATGTATAAGCATTAACCTTTTTTCAGAGTTCCGCAAGCACATATGGCTATTTAGATAACCACTACTGTGATCTTATTTGTTTTTTTTTTAAAAAAAGTTCTGAGATTGACGTTGAATATTTCCTATTCTTTTTATAGTAATTTCGCATACTCTAGTATAGTAGTATCGCATTATATTATTAAATCATTTATACCCTTCCCGCTGTCTCTACGCTGATATCTTTTAAAGTATACTCGTACAACGGATAATGCGGTATTACCTATAGACTGACTAAACTATCAAGATTTTTAGTAAGTGTAATTAGTTGTCAATTTTTCTTCCAATACTAACTTTTAAAAGCCCTCAGACTGGATTTAGCACATAATATTAGGTTCAGATAGTAGGTTCTACGAAGAATCAAAATCATTAAAGAAAAAATCAGATTGATACATAACAATAACTTGTTTTGAACAAACGTTCAAATTTTTGTTTTCGTTACAAATTGAAATTTTCACGCTTTCGTTACTTCGCTTTGTAGGAAAGTTAGAGGCTATGACATAATTTGCTGATGAGCCGTAAGCATGACTGACCCATTGTTGCATTACCCATTGTTGCTTAGATCTCAAATCAATTTTATATTAAAATTGATTTGAGATCTAATGTTATGCAAAAAGCGATAATATCGGTCAACTATAATGGTATTCTGTCTGTGACTCTAATTTTAAAAGGTGAATCACTTAAACCTTAATTGTTATGAGTAATCTTTCTATAAATATGTCTATCTTAATTTTGTATTAGGCACAGAACACCGAAAAGAGGTATTAGGTATATGAATAATGAAGATCTACGTAATCTGTGACACATCAAAGTTAAACGAGCCTGTTTATTTATTTTTTTATTTCTTATTTGATCTTTGTCGTTAATTTAATATGAATGAAAACTAAAAAAGTAATTTTATTTCTAGGTCAATTCGGAAGAGGAATCTTGAAAAGTATTTCGTCTGGTTTGAGCAAACCTCTGAGCCAGCTGATGGCTGGAGTCAGAGACTTTGGCTCTCTGGACAGCGATCGAGGGTTTGTAGGCAGCTTAGCCTCAGGAGTCACTAGTGTCGCCAACGCAGCAAATTCTCTAGTTGATTCTTTCAAGGATAGAGTGCAGGCTATTTACCCAGGTGCGTAAGGACTTAATATCAATAAAAATTGAAACAAAATTATAGCAGAGCATAATAAGAATTTGCGTCCTATATAAATTTTATGGAAATTTGGTGAGAAGTTTATGAATCAAAGTTTTGAACGGTAAGTAAGATAGATATGAGATAATTCAAAGAAAATTAGAAACAATGTGATCATAAAAGCAAATACTTAACAAAGCATAGGTTTCTGAAAGATGATAAAAACGATGATGATATCTTGTGTTGAATTCATATTCATTCAGCATTATTGCTTATTAGATAATAACTTATAAAGGAAATATAGATCGTGTTCGATATGAACAAATATTTTACTAACCATCTAAGAAAGTCCACTGTCTTAAGAGTCCGAGTACTAAAAACCAATTAGATTAAGTTTTCACTGCAGTCTTGCAGTCTTATCAGTTGAAACATGGGACTGTGATTCAAACATAAGTGTTTTACTTTATCTATCTTTGGACTCTAAAAAAACAGTGGACTTTCCTCGCTAATATCATCCAAATTATAAATAATGAAATTATTTTTGTTCCTCAATGCAGCAGCATTGAGCCGATCTTTTGGCTGATAAAAAGAATGGATGATGAAAATTTTCATCTTTTAACAATAATAATTACGTTTACATAGTTGTTACACATTACATTTTCAATTTGTGATCGGTTAACGAAAAAATGATGTCATTCGTCAAAAGGGTACCACAAGGAGTATTATTAGGTTCCGATATTTTTAGGCACTGTGTGGTGCGGCGACGGTCACTCCGCCACAGCTCGCTCAGGGGAGTTGGGCTTATTCTTCTTCACTGATACTTGCTGCAGGCAGCATGACGCGTGCAAAATGTACATTAAAGCGGGAGAGACTAAACATGGTCTCACTAACACTGGTCTGTTTACTAGGTAAGTTATAGCAAAAAGGGATGGAGAGGGAAAGATATCTTACAAATTGCATTTATTTATTTATATATATTCAAGAATACCGACGCTACTTATATGTAAACTTAAGATTAAATGACAAATGACCAATAAAAGGTATCCACGTTTAAACTAAGCAGGTCTTGAGGAGACCTACGGTGTGATGAATTCCAATGTATTAACTGTCAAGTTCATATATCATATAGTTTGTCCTGTTTGATGATAAGATATAATTTTTATAGATTGTGAACAAAAAAGAAATAACAAATGAAAAGAAGGTAATTATTAAAATAGTTATAGAACCTTGTAAATTGTGTATTGCTAGACGAATACGTAATCTGAACAGAAAAATGTACTTAATTGAGCGGATAAAACGGCCAGTTTCAGAATTGAGAAAAGCAAAAAAATGTCAACTGATTATTTTCAATAACATAATATCATATGGCAAAAACTCCCAGTTTTATCAAATTGTTATCAGCTCATAAATAAAAAATTATAAATCAATAATGAAAATCTGTATAATTGATGTTTAAAGTGCTTTAATCACTGTTCGAGACGCGCTCAACTTCAAATTCTCAATTCAGAAACCGGGTGTTAGTTATGGAATTTAGTAAGATTACAGTTCTTAGTCAGAGATGTGAAAACGAAGTAAAATGGTTTCTTGATATTTTCAAGATATTATAGATACGAGTGCATATTATATTTGATAAATTTTCGGGGCCGGTGGATTTTTAAGTATTTTTAATTGAAAATATTTATCCTACATACTTTAAGATCGTTACAACCTTCCAACAACTTACCATCTTTTGTATACCACCTAAATCTTTCTTATACCGTGAAAAGATCAAAGGATGCAAGAATATTGAAACCTTTTTAATTTTAAAGTTCTCTGTACACCACATGTCTGTCTTTATCTTTAGCATTGGCAGGTCTCATGTCGTCTCGTTTTCTCTTTGCAAGCCTTACTGTCATATTGTTATGTAACAAAGTTATCTTTGATGCGTAAAAGTCGCTAGATTTGATCTCTACGGGCATTGAGATATGCATGCGTTTGCGCATAATAAGGTCATATTTTGAAACACTCGCATGTTAGGGTACTCTTGTGTAATTTTAAATATCTTATTGCTATTCCTTGGCACTTTTATAAAGATCTACCTAACAGATATCTGTTATTAATATTACTAAACTTTAAAATGTAATTCGACATCAAAATATTAGTAACACAATTGGCAGGTGTTACACATTTGACTCTAAATCATAATTATTCCAATTTGGATTTTATCATGTTATAACGGCATTTCGTCACCAAATGAGACTAAAGCTAAAGTATTGTACTGATAACTATCGTCTACATATTTGATCTAGTCTTATAAATATGAAATAAAAACACTTACTTATTAGAGACATTTCCAATTGTATTGCTAAATGATTCCAAGAGCTTTATGATATGTTCAGGTATTGCTCTAAGAATTAAATAATTATGACGAAATATTGGGGTAAATCACCAAGCTTGCTAATAAGATATATACGAGTATTATGGTATACTGCGCGAAATAAAGTGCATAAAACATAGAATAGTATCGTGTATATTACGTTCTAAAGGCGTCTAACCAAGCATCACTGGTTTGGTTAAAAAATACAAAAATAACTGAAATTCTAAAATTACCATTTTTCTTTTTCTTTAGTAATGATACTCTTTTATTATAAGGAGCATTATAAATATGTGACTCACCTTGTATCTGAGAGTTGGGATTAAGAAATTTTTCAATAATTGTAATGTTTTGAGTGTAATTTAATATCTGTCCCTATCCTTCCCATTGGCTGGCGTGTTGATTTCGTCTTGTTTCATTTTAGCACGTTTGCAAACTATTATGTATACAAGTTCCCTTTCCAAAGACACCACGGTCAGATAACATTCAAATAACATAGTTTACTTGTCTGTCGGTCACGATCGTTCATTATACGAGCCGTAGGGCAATACTATTGCATAATAACATGAACGTGAGATGCTATTGTATACTTTAGTAGTTCACTGTTTCATAAGTACCTGTATTGTTGTGATATGAAATAATTTAAATACATTTGTTGGCAAGGTTAAAAATATATATGCCAACAGACATCCTTCAATCGATAATTTTAATATAAAAATTACAACTATTGATTGGTCTATTAATATGGTTGATGGCCAATTCGTACTTAAGAGGCCGCTCACAGCAAAATCATAAAATTTCTACAGGTTTTGTTTGAAGTAGTAACGATCAAATAAACTGTTATATAAAATGAGAAAACAATATTGCGTTTCTAAGGGTTCCGTCATCACAGCCAAAACTTGAAATTATAAAATTAAAAATAATAGAAGAAATTGCAGAATTAACTGTAAAGTTTATTATTTTCCATTTCTCGTTGTAGTTATACAATTTTTAAAAAGAAAAATTGATGAACATTTCGATCACTTGCAGCTGAAGGATTTTTACAGTAATTGTCATTGTATTTATTCTTAATGAAAAATACTTAAAAAGTCTGCTCTAACCACTGAGCAATGACAATGACGAGTTTTTCAAGCACTTCTTACTTTTTCGTTACTACAATACGTATTTTCATCAATGTTCAGGCAATCCAACCAAACAGCCAAAAGAAATACTTTTATAAATATTTAAACTGTCGATAAAGATGAAAATTGTTCTAAAAATTATATTCAATCAATTTTGAATTCAGAATGCTACACTGAAAATCGTCTTTAATGAAAAATGCTTAAAAAAACTTTTAGGTAATTATCTGAACACTGATGGAAATACACTCAGTAGAAGCGAAAAGTAACATATGCTTAAAACATTCGTCTTCTCTGTTGAGTACCATCCCGAGGTACCTAGGGCTGGTATATTTTTCATAAAATGTATTTATCGTAATAATTAATTAAGTGAGTAATTAATTAAAAACTGTTAGTGTCTCAATGAGATAGACAGGGACAGTGTTTTAAAAAAAATATTCTTCTCTTCTCGTATGTACTTTAACGCCTCACAGATATTACGATAAATTACTATGTTGTATTAACAACGGCACAAACCGCCTTGCAATAAATGTAAGTTTAAAACGTGTATCTTGTAGTACATATCGTTCTATACAAACGCACGTATTAACCAAATGGAAATGCGAGCAACAATGTATGCAGTTTTCTGTACAACAAGTATGTTATTACAAAACTTCACATTTAACATTAACAACTCTAACATTAACGCATACAAATTGAAAACTATCAACTATAATTATATAATATTCTGAATTTGTCCACAATATACTTAACTAGCTGTTTCCGGCGACTTTGTCATCGACTAAAATCTCCTGAGAAAAGACTTGTGACGTTACCCATTGGACGATCATCTCGGCGAATATCTCATAACGTTTTGTCCATAGCTTCGAGGGTTTTTTGGTGGATATGATACATTCATCCCAAACGATGAAACAGCATTGCTGTCACAGCAATCGTGTTACACTCACCTTGTCAGAATTTTATGTATGCCGTCTTAACTCCGGGACAACGACTTTCGCTTATACGTGATTCCTTTAAATGTTAAAATAATACTGAGCTTTTGGAAATCCACATCAGATGTTCCAAATCATCGAATTTTAATCGCTATAAAATACCCATCGGACTAAACAACTTTACTAAGACCTCAGTACTGTATATTGTTTAGTAGTCTTTTAGAGTTCCACATAACATGTTTTAGATCTTCAATTTGTTAAGTCAAGACAAAATGTTCATTATTTGAACAACTTCTGTTAAGACATTGTTTCCGTACATGATATAGTGCAGCGGACTCAGAGTTCCACATCAGATGTTTCAAATCTTCAAATTTTAATCGCACAGAAAAATATGTATATTATGCTCTATTTCTTACTGTTTCGTTAATCTCTTAAGGATTCCATACGATGTTGGAGACCAGCCACCAAAATGAATGATAGCCTATACGGTGCCGAGGATTAATAGCTTCAAAATCACAAAAATAATTATTAAAATCCAATCGCGTTCATACAAACAGACAGACAAAAAAATTAAAAATCATTGAGCTCTATTCTTTTGGTGTTTCAGTATTGCCCTGAATCAATTTTAAGGAAATATATTTGATGTATAGACGCACTATTTTTACTGTTTTATTATAGTATAGAAGATTGCGATATGGATCGCTTAATTAGATCATTATACTAAATAAAAGTAAGGCTTACATAACTACGATCATAAAACCACAAGTAGAGATCATTAAATTAATTTGCTTTACTTAAATCAACTTTATTTTAAGAGTAACAGAAATCACAATTATTTAGTTTAAAATCATTCGAATTCTACAAATTTTCTTTGGCATTTCAATTGTATTTTAAGTTTATATCAATAAAGGTTTAAATTGCAAGTTTCATGGGGCATTTAAAATTAATTGTTGTTTCTGTGCAACGCTATGCACCATTGCTCGTTTTGCTTAACCGTTGCTAAAGAATGCAAATGGTCGTGCAAGATTCAGAGTTATTGGATAGAAAGTTTTCTTACAGATAATTAAAAACAAGTAAATTGTTCAATTAGATGAAAAAGCAAAACGTAAAAGTATTAATAATTTTCTATAAGTAATAGGGGTTAAAGTATGAAATTGCCGATTTGAACCGAAAATCAAAAGTGTTGAAAATTTATCAAATTTATTTAATCATAATAGTTACCATTATTATCTATGCATTGCTGACATCTAATTGGCAGGTCATTTAAGCCTTTGCGATAGCACTCTAAAGATCTAGATTGCACAAACTGTGTGAAAGTATTTTGTACTGTCTCCTGGGAAGAAAACTTATAACGTAGATAATTGTCCAAATCACGAAAAAAATGGTAGTCCATTGGAGCAAGGTCTGGCGAATACGAAGGATGACAAATGGTTCCAAACTGCAGTTCCTGAAGGGTCAAAACGGTTTCTCGTGCTGTATGAGGTCTCGAGATGTACCGAACAATAATAGTGACGATCGATTCATGAGTCGGGACTGTTTTATTGCTAGTTTTGCTAACATTGTTCGGAGTTCGGTTCAGTAACAACTGCCGTTTTTGCTTGCTCAGATTGGAGAAAACTATAGTGAATAACACCATACTGGGACACCAAACAATCACTATTTTTTTTTTTTTTTTTTTTAAAAGCTGGTTCCCCCACTTTTTAGCAGGTTGTCTTTTTAATCTTTTATGTTTTTATGCTTCTTTTCTTTTTTTATGTTTACCAGGTTTAAAGCCTGTTCTGTCTATGGGGAATGCTCTTTTTCCCTCTTTTTTTTACTTAATCTTACTTTCTAATACATTGTCACTTATTTGCTAGTTACATATTTTTATTATATTATTACATCTTTTTCTTATCTATACATTAATATATGTTCTTTACATTTTATTTTTCTTTTACTTATTATCTATTCTTTTATGTACAATATTGATTGCTTACTTAAAACTAATTCATGTTTACTGTGTTGTTTACAATTTTCTTAGTCACTTAATTAATCCTTATTTCTTTTTGCAACTTTCTCTATTATAATGCTAGCATATTTCATAAATTTCTCCCTTTCCTCAGCATCTGATATTATTGTTTCCAAATTTACTTTGCTAAGGTTTGATTTGATGTGATTCTGTAGTGTGTACCTATCATTCCCGAAGATTGGGCATTCCAGCAGCACATGGAACACATCTTGTTTCACTTGGGGGTCGCACTCACAAAATGGGGTATCCTTGCGTTTGTAATCATGGAGGTAGGACTTAAACCCTCCATGCCCCGTTAACAGTTGTGCAGCCCACCTATCTATCTTCATCTTTCTTACCACTCCGAAGGCCCTTTCCCCACTGGGGAAAAAGACCTTCGTAGTGGCGGCGGTGTTTTCGCTCTTATAACGGCTATCCCATTCTACCTTTGTCAAATTGCGTAAATGCCTTTTGACAAAGGAGATGGGGCAGCCGTCATAGTGCGATTTACACTTCAATCCGAGAGCCGCCCCCTTCGCCAACTCGTCCGCCCTCTCGTTCCCAATCACGCCGACGTGGGCCCTGATCCAAAATAGGGAGACCTTTTGGTCTGAGTCCCTAAGTTGTATCAGGTTGCCTTGAATCGCCTTCGTGATTGGGTGCGAAGAGTCCGGATCCTGTAGCGACTGTAGGGCGGATCTCGAATCGCTGAGCACCGCCGCGTCCTTCCATTCTTTTCTCATCACGTATTCCGTTGCTTGGAGGATAGCATACAGCTCGGCCTGGAAGACCGTACAGTATGGCTCCAGCTTAAACTTTCGGGAAGCGATCTCAACAGCCCCTTTCCAACAGGTCAGGGCTGCACCGACTTTTCCCTCAAGCTTGCTACCATCTGTATAGATCTTCACAAGGTCTTCTGCTAGTTTACTATCCTCTTCTGCATTTTCCAGACACTCAAACTCTATCATGCCTAGGCTGCCGGGGTGGTTCGATTCCTGCAAGGATACCCTCTCCTCTACTTTCCTGCCACTTAGTATTGCCTGGGGTTTCCCGCGCTTTGCTTCATAAAGCCGGGATGCTTCTTGGACCCTAAGGTCCAGCGGAAGCAGCCCCGACAATACTAATGCGGAATTTAGTGAAACTGTCCTGTATGTTTTTGCGATTTTTTGCGCGAACCCCCTTTGTACCCCATTAAATACTTTCTTACTCTTAATTTTGTTTGCTTCTTTGCCCCAAACGCTTGCCGCGTACAATATTATTGGTTCTATCACAGCTATGTATATAGTTCTAAGTACTTCCGGGTTTAGGCCCCATGTTACCCTAGCCGAAGTTGATATTCCTTTGTATATATTAATGGCCTTCTGGCAGACGTAAGTAATATGGTTATTAAAAGTAAGTTTTCTGTCTATTAAGACCCCCAGAATTTTTATTTCGTCCTCTAATTTTATTGTTATACCTCCCATGGTCAGATGGGGGGTATCATATTTCATTTTATTTGTAATTATCATGGCTTTAGTTTTTTGCGGTGCAAAATTTAGTTTGTTGTTTCTCCCCCATTCTCTGACCATGGTTAATGCCCTGTTAGCCTCTATTTCTAATTTCTGGGAGCTTTTTTCTGATATAATTATTACCACATCGTCTGCAAATGCCTGACAGTAGATGTCAGCCTCGGTGAGATTATTTAAAAGTGGGTCCAATATTAAATTCCAAAAAAGGGGTCCTCCTATGAAACAATCACTATTACCTTTTTATTGGTAA